TGCGTACCACGATGGAGTTTTCGTTATCTAAAAATCAGACTATTTGTATGAAAAACCTTCATTTATAGTTTTGGATAAAAACAAACAGTTATTTACTCTTTCTATATAACAATTTGAAGAATTTGTAAAGGTGAGTTCAGCCGTTTTCAAAATCCAGGCATACACTCAAACAGAAGGACAGACGTACGGACTAGCAGACATATCTATATTTAATTCTAATGGATCTGAGATGTTTCTTTCTGTCTGATACATGCATTTGCATAAAACTGCTTTTTCTACCTAATGACTAATCGACATAGCTAGAATTCATATGTAAATACATAAAGACTGAATTAGTTACCAAATGATTAGCCAAATAAATGAACTGTGTGTGAGCGGAAAAAGTGAAATATTTCGCAAGAGAGTTGACTCATAGGAAGACCCATTTGCAGATGCAGATGCTCGGACACAGCGCAACGGTTCATTGTTGGGACTTCCTGTCTACAACTGCTACACTTCCGCCAAACTAAACCGTGTGTGACTTGGCCGAGAGATTTGCTAATGACGGCACAATAACACACAGACAGTAGACTGGGCCGACGGGGGGGGAATCACCGATTGGCTCCCCAATCTGTGAGCTAAATGGTGAGCACATTAGCGTACGCATCGGAATCGCACAGGAAATCAAAAGGTGAACCAAAACCCAATGCTAATGGGCAGTGCGGCATTTTTATTTAGTTTTGCTTTTCATTTTATTTTGTTTTATTTTATTTCAGACGCATTTCATGTCCATCAACGTCGCGACGGTCCAAAAACTGAAACGCAACGCAAAAATGACTACAACAACAACAACAACAACAACGATTGCCATTGAAATTCAATTAGCATTCCAAAAGTCGAAGCAATAAAAAGAAACAACGCGTATTAAAAGTGTTTAGTTTTTAGTTTTTTTAGGCTTAGTTGAAGGCAGATCAAAGTTCGGAACTATAGTGCAGGTGAAAGGACAAAATCTTGGCAACAACAGCAACTTTTTTAAGACAGTCAAACCCCCTAAGCACACATTTTGAGAAGACTTGAACTTAAGATATAAAAAATCTGCTACGAACTGCTTCAAAACATTTTACGTTCCACAATACAAGCAAGCTAGTATTCTACGATCTTTTTCCAAGAGGAGAACACATTCTGCGAAGCTTCTTCAAATTAAATTAATAAATTAAAATTAAATTAATAGTTTCTTTATAACCATAGTTTTCAAGTCGTGGGTAGACTTTAGTTTCTTGCCCAAAAATTTGTTAGAATACTTGTATTTAAAAAATGTATTCTAAACCAGACTGGGAATTACATTTGGTATTATCTTTTGTCCATTCGGGATCATAGACTTTACGCCACATTACTGGATGAACTATATGACGGATGTACATATAATTGTGAACATCGTATAATTGTTAGGAAAAGTGCCCTAAAATGCCCTAAAGGGGGCAAAGGGGCTGACATTTTGATGTAATTTTAGGTAATGCCGCTCACATAAATAAATAAAAGTGTCATAACTTAGTAAACTATTTTTCGGACACTTGTATTTTTTATGATGCCTCAAGAATTGTATGGCACTAGCACCATACTTGTATAACGGACAGATCGGACAAATTTTTTCATACGATAACTAAGAAATAATGATGTTGTTAGAAAATAAAGATTACTCTGCAAACAATTATTTATTTTATTCATATATGTTCTAAAATGTTATGTTATGTTAAGTGTTTCAACTTTTACAACAGATGGGGAGCTCAGTTTCTTAGTTATACAAGTACATGTATATATTTATTTGAAATAATTAATAATTTGAAAAATGTCAATCTAAATATATTTGAAACCAAACGTTTTAATATACTAGGAATTACAATCCGTTTTTTTTTTAATAAACCAACCAATAAGTTATATTTTATTTATTGAAAGTGGCAGTATAATGAATTGGTGATATTTTTAAATAATTGAAATAAATGCGAGCTATGAATGAATTGGGGATTTCTTAAAAAAAGTGAAGTTGATGTTTTGAAAAACTTGCTGCAACTAATAATATGTATTTGGGTTTAATGGCCTCAATAATTTTAGAGCTTCTAGTTATATACTTGTATTTTGCCAGACATTCAAAAACATATTAATTGGATTGAGGTCTATATTACATAGAAAGAATGACACGCTTTAAATATCTGTCGTCCTATATTTCAAAATGAAAGCTCTCGAGCTGTTTATATAAATTTCTATAATTTCAACTGAAGTGCTATATATTTTTGTCTCGATGAAACAATTAAATGTATTCTAATTAGCAAAATACATATCATCAGAGTTTTGATGCAATAAAATACCTGATCTCCCCAGCTAGGTGCTATTGTATTTGATTCAGAAAAACCGATATAATTTGTATACCTGCATTAATCATTTCTTTGAGATTTGTGCTGGGTCGTCATAGCGAAGGCTGACTGTGGACACAACAATGAGTCTAGCGCTCTATAAATCGCCTCTTGGCCTAGGTCAGTGAAGCGAACAAAGTTGTTGGGACGCTACTTTGCTTCGACCATCAGTTGACCTGCTGGCGTTTTTGTTGCCATTAAAGCAAGAAACTCACACTCATATACATATGTATGTATATATATTTGTGTGTATGTGTGTGTGTGTTTTTGCGCTCATTGTCAAAGTCAGTTGCAGTAAAAGTCGGCAAAGTCCGTCCGCTGTCTGCCGCTTGTCTGGCCAGCCAGTGCCAGTGCCAGTGCCGGGCCCAGTCCCAGTGCAGATGCGCCCGAGTTGGAGCCACCAACTGGTTTTAAAGTTCGTTTTTCAGATGTACATACTTGTATATATATACACACATACATGCATAAGTGTGTGCGGTTTTAACTTTCACATTGCTTAATTGTGGGCTTAATCTTGGCTAATTTGCTCCAGTTTTTATTTTCATTTGTACTGCACGCGAGCCGCTGAGCAAAATGCTCACGAATTGTCGATTAAAGCGCGCGCTGATCAAGATATTTGGACGACGCCTCGTCTATGGCTGGATGCCGATTTCGATGTGGATGTTAATGTATTTACTAATGAGAAGACGGCGCGCGCGCGTGCTCCAGCAGCCGCCCGGATTACCCGCAAACGCCTCATGTGTCTACATACATACATACTTAGTATATCTATATCTAACTGCGGACGACTTTAACGACAGGTTGCGTTGTTTTTTTTTTCTGTTTTTTTATTTATATTTTTTTTTTTGTTCCTCTTGTGGCTGCTGTTGCTCTAGTCATTGTAGTTCGCATGTGAAAATGTGATCCATCAATAGGAAGAGCAAACAAAATAGGCGGCATGCGGCCAAAACGAACAGTTGCGGGCACTACACCATCAGAAAACTGAACTATAAGTGTATTGAAAAGCTCTTAGCTCGTCATTATTTAATTTAATTTGAATAGAAAGTTAGAGATATAGAAATCCTTAGCCATGTCTAGAGTTTCCTCAGTTCCATTTCCTGAACTTTCCTCAACTTCTTTAAATTTAATTTGTTAATTTTTAAAATTTGTAATCCTTTCTCTCCTCTAAATTGGCATTGCTATATCCTACTGTCGCTATTCAAAATTTCTGTTGAATTCTATGATATAATTGCGACATTGACTGTTAAATATCAAATGAATATGGTAATTGCTTATTGAATTAACAAAAATCTGTTTTTAAAAAAAAAACTTTTCTGTAATCAGCACAAGTTGTATTCGAATGGAAAAGAAAAGTTATTCGTCTGCTTTTATAAGCGATTTTCGTAATTTAGGCCAATACACAAAATCCATTTGCAGATAGTATTAATTAGCAATTAAGAATAGACTAGCTTAATGGGAAATACTTGTAGTCGTGATAAATGATTGGCTAACTATGCGTTCCCTTTCGGCTCTGTGTGTGGCGGCTTTGTATTCCGATAATTAGCAACATAAAATACAGACACACATGTAAATGATTGATTTAAACAAGAATGTTATTTACGCTGCCTGCTCAACCGATCATCTCCATATACAAACATATATATGTGTGTACATATTTACATATGTACAATATAGGGGCGATATACTGCATGTAAAGTACAATTTATTGCACTGTTTGTGCCAACATGGTTGAGTAGTGAGTTGGGAACGCGCCCAAAAACAACTTTCCTATCCCATGGCATCACGTTTTTGTTTCTATTTGATTTTTTATTTCACTTTTTTATGATTGTCATTCATTGGTTGGCTTGACGAGCGCATGCGTAGGGTGCTAAGCATGTCAAGTGTATGCCCAGAGCCAGAGCTCATGATAATAATAATAATAATAATAATAATAATAATAATAATGGGAATGATGAAGTGTGAGTCGTCTGACGGAATGACTGACTGACTGACTGAATGTCTGTTTGGCTGTCAATCGAAATAGAGTTGCTGCCTGTTGACAACTGCAGTTAACAACTGCAGCCTCCTCCCCCTCCTCCGGCAGCATCGTAGGTCTCTATTGCTGCTGACATCGTTTTGTGCAAGTTTCACAAGCATGGGCGAGCGAGTGAAAAGCGGCCAACGGCAGACGCGCCGATCTGTTGCCAAATACGGCGCATGCGCAGCATATGCAACAAAAGGCAACAACAACAACAACAACAGAAGCAACAATTCAGACAATGGTCAGTCATAACAATGCTTGGCATAATAACTATAATTGCACACATATGGTACACACTTTATACATACATACATACATACACATGCACCAACAATCACTGCAACAGCAGCAACAACAACAACAATAACAACTCACTGGCCACGCATTGGCCTTGCAATTGGCGCGTTTTATTTGAACTTTTGAACTGTTGCGCCACAAAAAACAAACAAACACACTCACACAAACACATTCAGAAAACTGTGTAGAATTGCGTGATACGGTCAAATAAATAAATCAAAAAATATGTAAAATAAAAAAAAAATAAAAATAGCAAACTAAACTAAAAACAAAAACTAAAATTTAATCACATTTACTTTGCAATTGAAGAGGCGCGCCTTTTCCGGCGACAGTTTCACTTTTAAATAATTCGTATGTGGATGCCAAAACCAAAACCAAAACCGACCAACAGGCGAGCAACAACTTTTTGTTAACGTTTTTTATAAACCGTGCGTCGTTAACCGCGCAATCCGTTCGCTGCCGCGCAAAGTCAGCAACTGATCGATCAAACTTCAAGCGGGCCCAGAGCCAAGCCAGTGAGACGAAGAGCCAAAAGCCAAGTCGCCAAGCGCGAGTTGCCGGCCAAGTTTAAACGACGACAGCAACAGCAACAACAACAGCAACAACAACAGCAACAGCAACAACATCAGCGATAGCGACCAAAAATGTGTCAAAAGCAAAAGCTGTGCTGTTGCGGCTGCTGCTGCAAGCAACAAAAACAAAAACACAGATAAACACCAATGCAAGTTTTGGCAGTTGCATGCGTGTATGAATGTCTGTGTCTGTGTGTGTGTGTGTGCGTGTGAGTGGGCGGCCCGCATTGAGCAACATTTCGTATGTTGCTAAACAATCCCACACTCTCGCGCGCGTTTAAAGTCGCGCCCGAAACGCTCGCAAGTCGCATTAACACAATTGCTTCTGCTTTTTACCCCGTTTTTTGGTTTCTGCTACTGCTGCTGACCCATTTTTATTGCCAAGTGCCACACCAAAAGTGTTTCCAGATTCAATTTCCTTTAAAATTCAAAAAAACATTCGACAATGTTGCTGCGAATAAATAGTTAGTGAATAAATTGCAAATGCATTTAAAACGAAAGAAACGCCTACGTTGCACCGCCCCGTCCTTCTCTCTCTGACGTATCTCTAACTAAAAGAAGCCTTGTTCGCCAATCGTTCCTATGGAAGCTATATGATATAGTGCACTAATTTCGAAAAAACTTCAGACAATATAATTGAGAGTGAAACACTATAAAAAGCTTATATGCAATAATTATATTATTTTGTTGTCTTATTTTCGTACTAAGTTTTTTGCCTTCTCAATGGGGTTTTTGTATTAATCGAAATAGCCAGAGAAGGTTAATTCACTTGGAGTGATTTTTTCAAGAATCGGTTATAGTACTTGTATGTATATGGCAGCTATATAAAGCTCGCTCTCTGCGTTGCGTATCAACTCCCTAGACTTTATGGCTCAAAAGTTATCCATCTTCATACGGATGCATATGCGGACAAATGGACAGACGGCTTTGTAGCATAACTTGAACTTTTCCGGTACAGGCTATAAATATAGTGATTAGGCGAATGCAATATTTTGCAAAAAGTTCCATGACAGATAATTGATAGAGTGGTGGGATCAAATAATGTATCTAAAGAATAAAAAGAACGATATCCCTAATACAATAATAAACATCTAGACAGACAAAGGAACCTTAAATTATGTAAGGTAAATATATTTATGTAAATATTTATTTTTCAACATCTAAAATAAATTTATATGTAGATTGTAACTGAATTTTTGCAACATATTTGTCATTTAAGACAAAATATTAATTATCAATTAACCCTTTATACAGCAGAGATAGTTTTAAAAATAGTAAGTGTTTAAAGAAAGCAATAATCGTAAACAATCTATCATTTGCGAGTATACCTAAAAAAAAAGTTGCAAGCTGTAAGTATAGTTGAGACTATAATTATTTATTTTATTTTTTTATTTATGAACCCTGAGCATAGCAGCTTAGTTACAAATTCATTGAGTTCTTTTAATTGTCACAAGCTGAAAATATGAATAGAGAAGCAGCCGAAATGAAGAAGCTACTTTCAAATTTGGGAAACGATTTCTTAGAATACCAGAAGCTTTTATTTGAATTATGAGTGAGGGAGAACAAAGTGTGCGTTAAGATTAGGAAAGCGGTTATATTTTTGTATACCCTGTACCCGTAGGGTAAAAAGGGTATATTAGGTTTGTGCAAAGTATGTAACATGCAGAAGGAAGCATCTCCGACCCCATAAAGTATATATATTCTGAATCTGCATGACGAGAGAAATCGATCTAGACATGTCCGTCCGTCCGTCTGTCCGTCTGGACGAACGCAAGGATCTCAAAAACTATAAAAGCTGGAACAACCAAAGTTGGTATCCAGATTCTCCTAGGTCCGAGAAAGGACGAGTTTATTTTATTTTTTGGAAGTTTTCCCCGCTTTCTCCGCTACAGAATTTTGTCAATAGCGTCCACATTTGAAATGCTACCTAAACCAAACTTTGCACACATAATTTATATATAATTATCTACTGTTGTTCATTTTATTCAATTCGGTTAAATCTAAGAAAAGTTATTAGCGAAACAATTTCTCGCCAGTACAACCTCCCCAAACTGCAGCAACAAGTTCGCTCTTCTTCTTGCTCTTTTTGCTGCTGCTATGGGCGCATATAACTCAGTGACGAGGTACAGGGTATTACACGTTCTCTCTTGTTAACTCTTGTAACACTCCTTCAGACGTGCTGAAGCGTCTGAACGCTGATCAGAAACAGTCCTACATTGTTCTGCAAATGTACATATGTATATAGGTAGAAACAGTACTGTAGTTTGTGGAATGATATATGGCATGTTGAAGATAGCAACAAAATAAAACAATAATATGCCTTGAATTAAGGCCAACAAATAATGAAGATGAGAAAAGTGATTTATGGACCAGTCTAGTGCACTAGTTAACAATTTTCACAACTTCATTTAAACGCTCTCACAGACACACACACACACACTAACAAATCGACGCCCCAAGCAGTTGCCAACACTTGGCCACTTGTTGGCCATATCAGCGAGCTGTCTGATCCGATCCCAAACGCCTCGTGTCTTGTTTGTTGGTGCCGCTTTAGTGTGTGTCGTCCAGTCAGTAGGCTGTAGACGTTGACGTCGTCACCATTCAAGTGAAAACAAACCCAAGCCCAAACAACTTAAACAACCCAAACAACTTAAACAACTTTTACAATGTCAACGTGCCGCTGGCCAAAGAAAAGTGACAGTGGAGCAGTTTCGGTTTGTCTTGCCTGCCGAAAGTGACACACAAAGCAGAAGGAAAAAGCGAACAACGAAAAACGGAAACCGTAAATAAAGAACAGCAACAACAAATCAATTTAAAAGAGAGCGACAACAATGCGGGGCGGCACATTACATCGATTACATTAACAAATAAATGAAACTGTTTGTTAATTAAAATACTTGTATTCATTGCCTTGACATTTCAACTGGAATTTTGTTGTAAAAAGCGCTTAAACAATCGATTATTCTTTCATTTTATTATTTTATTTTTTTTTTTTGGATTTCTCGCCTGAGCCGCAGCGACATTTTCCAAACATATATGTATGTATGTATATATACCACATGATTTATATGCTATGTTGTTAGTTTTTTTTTCGAGACGTACGTATAAATTGTAGTTTTACATTATATTTAAACTGGAAGCTTAATGGTGTTTATGGGCGGGTGTTCTCGGGTTAAATTAGCCCAAAGCATTTCTCTGTTACTTTGTTAATAATTTGTATTTATTTTTTTTTCACTTAGCGGCAGGGCATGGCTTGACATAATACTTATAAATGTATATGATGGCTGCCACAGCAATATAATAATTTTTCGTTTTGTTTACATTTATTTATCTTCTATAGTATTTGACAATATAGTTCTGCATATGCCCGAGACGACTTCTTGCAGGCAAATGCTATTTATGCTGTTTACGTATTTAGATTGCTGCTTCTCGCTTCGTGCAATTGTTTAATTTTGTTTAAACAAAAAATAGTGCTAAGATTTAACAACTGGTCGTTGGACGGCCCCATCTTATATCTTCTTCTCTCGCTTTGGCCACCAATTCTTTTTTTTTTTTGCTTTTCTTGTTTTTGTGTTTTTTGGCGAGTTTTTCTTTTTTTTACATATGAACAAAATATCTAAAGAAACTTAAATCGTCATTTTCATCACATAAACGTATTATGTTAGACAATTCAATTAAGTGCTAAGCATTACAACTAAAGATATTGAACATTGTTGAGTTGGTAGGGGAAAATAATTTATAACCGACTTCATGCAGTTATCGTCTCATATAATTTCAACATAATCTGGATCTATAAAAAAATTTAAAAAATTGCCACAAAACATGATATCGGCGTACGCAAGCAAACTAATTCCAAATGAATGTTTTAAAAAATATACTATATATCTATATACAACAAACTTACAATCAAAATTCATAGCTATATACAAACGAAAAAAAATACAAAGATTACATACATTGTTTGTATGTTTTTAGGTCAAACAGAAATGTTTTCAATTTTAAAACATATAGTTATAAAAAGTTTAAATTTTCATCTGCGGCACCATTTTCTATATATGTACGTTTTCTTTTCCAATTCATAAGGTATGTAAGGTTTAAACAACAATAAATCAACTTTGACCAATTTTGAACGCAACTTAATACAAAAAATATGAAAATAAGCAAAGCCTTAAGCTGTAAGCTTCCTTCCTTATTAGTCAGCCATCTCTTGCTGCTTGGACGTGTGTGGATATGATAATTGTTTTTGTTTTTATTATTATATAAGTATATACTTTTATGTAAAACATCAGCGAGAGCAGTGAGCGCTGTGCAACATTTACATTAATAGGTCAAATTTGTTTGAGATTCAGTTATCGACTATTCAATTATAATGAAAATTTAAACCACCAAAAAGAAATGAAAATGTGAATTTCAAGAAAAGAACATGAATTTATAGACTCGACTTTTAAACAACGTTGAAAATACAAGTATAGGACCCTGATTTGGGTTTGAAATAAAGAACACACTAAGCTAAAAAAAAAATGTATAGACTGAAATGTTGAATATGCACCTAAAATGGTATTCGGGAAAAATGGAAGAATGTACAATATTGCTGAAGTGGGGAAGGGATATATAACATAAAAGAGTAGCAGTATTCTCTTGATCTACTCGTAAGACAAAAATCCTCTGCTCTGAAATCAACTTCATTATGGTAGATATACACATACTTAACTATCTGTACCAATTTCTTAAGTGTGGTAATTCCTTACGATTTCTGCTAAGCATTTTGTAATTGTTAACTAAACGGATTTTTTGAATAACTTAGTAACTAAACTATATTTGTATGTGTGGTGCGCCGTCTCTGGGCGATGTGCGATTTTCGTGTTATTGGACAGGGAAAACATAGGATTTAGTTGACGCCGATAGAGGGGGCAGCCGACTCCGATGTTGGATCGCCCGACCCGGTCGACCCGGTTTGCCCGTTCGGACTGTGGACCAAGCCGGTGGTCCACTTGTTGTTAATGGTAAAGAACTTTGTCTTGACTTCATCAATAGTGTAATCCTCCTCAATGGCCGGATAGCTTGTCTTCTGCAAGGATAACAATATATAAAGCAGGAAATTAGAAAATGTATATTGTTGTCCAAATATAATAATCGTTACTCACATTTTGGGTAATGTTTTGGCCGCGCAGCATGTGCCAATTTTCTAGGATTTGGGCATAGCGCAAATATTTCTCAAAATCGTGCACTGTCTCGTAGACATGGCAGAGTCCCAAATAGTCATACTCCAAGCCGGAGTACGAGCGTCCATACAGACGCAAGCCTGCAAAAATTAAATAATTCGCGTGTGCCGATTAGTGAGAAAGGGAGGGCAACATAGAAGAGAGCGATAGAGATAGACAGAGAGACTCACTTATGTCAATGCTGCGTAGGTAGAGATCCTCAGCCTGGCTATATTTCTTCATCTGATAGTTATAGAGCGAGGCCAAGTGGCCAATAGACAAGCCCACCTCGTAATCGTAGGGACCTAGCAAGTCCGTTTTTATTTTAATGGCCTTCTGATGCATACGCTCTGCTTCATCAAAACGATTCATGGTCTGGTAGAGTCGTCCCAGATTGCCATAATGCTTGGCAGTCTGCACGTTCACTTCGCCGAAAACCTCAAGGGAAAGCTGCAGTGCAAAATTGTGTAACTCCTCCGATTGGTGCAATAGATCCTCCTCATCCATGCCATCAGCCATTTTATCTAGTGCAATTTCCTCAAGCAACAGCGCTTTGACGCGCTTGGCTGAGGCCAATATCAGATGATTGCTTGGCACTATATTCTTCATAATCTCCACAGCCTTGTCCACGTGATCCTGGGCACAGGTGAAGTTCCCGGTACTATATTCGTGCACATAGTATGCATACGAGAGATCCTCGTGCGCAATCGCCACATGGAAGTTCATGTTGCCAAAAATGCCGCGACGCACAGCCAGCGCTTCCTTGTACACGTTGACCGATTGGAACACCGAGTCTACATTCAGCAAAAAGAAACCATAGTCCAGCAGTGCATCGCCATATTTCTGATGCTTGCGTCCAAAGTGTTCGCTGCGAATAGTGCCCAGTAATTGGAAAAAGATTGTATGGGAATGTTTGATGTACGTTGAAATCATTATACTATAGAACTTAAAGTCCCAAAGCACTTCCGTTTTAGTGCTCCTAATGTCTTACAATTTGCACAGTTCGTAGCAAAACATCAAAAATCTATCTCAATAACATACCTAATTCTACGTATTTTTAAAATCACAATTGTTATTATAAGTTCACCGAATTAAACACAAAGTAAACACGTAATGGAAAACTTCGTATTGCTGATCATTTATTTATTTAAACTTCGGGTCTTCTTCGAAATGTGCGCAAAGATATTATATTACTGTGGTGTTATTTAAAAAATAATATATCTAGCATAAAAACACACAGAAACACAACCACATATGTATGTATTTGTTTTCTTTAATAAGGAAATACGAAACCAACTGTATTTAGAAGGAAAACCTGACGAGAAAGCTTGCGTGATTGGAATGCAGACGCCTGTCTCATATAATCGTGTATATGTTAATAGAGATCGGGTTAGCTTTTTCACTTACCGTGCACGTCGCACAGCCTGGCAGATGAGCAAATTGGCGCGGGCAAAGTCGCGCTTGACCACACATGCCTTGGCGGCCTGACGCAGAACATCGATTATAACGCTGCAATAGATAAAGGCAAAGGATAAGCGTGAATAAAGAAATGATGTCTGGACAAGCAGCTACTTACCGTGCGGGGGCAAAGGTCTTAAGGTAGCGCATGGCCAGTACACTCCACATATGGCTGTTATCGTATTCGTTGCGCGCAAAGTGCATGGCCGAGATTTGTGTGTAGGTCATGGCTATTAAGGACGCTGGTAACACACTGTTACAGTTGCGATTCAGTTCCATGAGCTCATCAAGGGTCAGTTGCGCCATCTTAAAGTTGCAATGGGCGGACTCGGCAAAGAGCAAGCTGTAGAAGAGGATGTTTAAGCTCAAGGATTACCATATTACGTTCCACTTACCGCTGCAAGCAATCAATGCGTACGATAACTATATTCCTGAATGGCTTCATCCGCTTGAGTCTTTCGTTGAGGCACTCCAACACCGCAATGCTCTCCTGCATCCAGCCAGCTTCGGAAAGAAACGAGCCCAGACGCAGACCAAAATCAATAATCTCGCCTTCGTCATCAGGCGGTACTTCCGGCATCGAGTCTTCTTCGGAATCACCGTTGACATTGGCAACGGCATTGGCATCGACAATAGTAGCAGATTTAACTGGACGCAATACATCGTTGACGTAGATATTGCTTGGGGCGTTCCAGCGACTGCAACTGGCACTTGTGCCGGCCACATTGTCATCGTCAACTACTTGCATTTTACTGTACTCTGTGGCCAGCATGAGATGTTTTAGCTGTCGCTGCATTATCAAGGCCTTGTCCTTAGCTTCGGCTATAGCCTTCATACCTGGCTGTTGTGGGGGAGGGTCCAGCTTCTGTCCCTCTTCCTCGGGTTTCTCCTCATCCTCATTTTCTTGCAACTGCGCCTGCAGTGCATATTGGGCCACATATGCCTCGCTCAGTCGACGCGACAGCATCTTCTTGCTGGCCATGAGAGCGGCTATAATGCGCAGCAATTTGGAGCGTGCCGGGGTGTGGCGTATGAGACGCCTGAACACATCTAAATCAGATAGCTCTTCGAGTAGAGTATCTTTTAGTGGCTCGCACTGTGACATCTGTGGTGAGCAGAGTTAAATAGTAAAATGTTTCATAATTTTTAACAATTTGGGGGACTAATTACTTAAATAATTTACTTTAAATAGTAATTGCGGTTTATCAGCTAGCATGGGTATAGGCGTAGACAAGACCTATGTCTAGTCTAGCGCTTTTTAATGTATTATGATCATTTCGACAGTTGGTAGTGCAAAGGAAGGTTTTGCAGAGTTGTTAATCAAAATATTGTTCAAAAATTAGTCTTATATGTATTTTTTTTGTAAATATTTTTGTAATAGTACTATATACGTATGTGTATTTTGTACAAAATTAGAACAGAGGGCTATATAAGTGTTTTATTGACATACATATATGTATGTATGTATAATCGCTCTGTTGCAGCTTTATCAGCTAGATGCAGCCATAGTCATATACATATGTATGTACATATGTGTTCATGAATGTATAGGCACGCAAAAAGAGTGCCTTTGCTTGGAAGCTAACTGACAGACTGACTAACTGACTGAAGGACTGACTGAAGTTCAACGGCTTTTCTAGAGGAGCGACAACGATGGTCACAACGACAATGAGCTCTTAATAACAGCTTGATGATGATGGTGCTGCCTGTGCGTTCTCCAGCTAAGCGCAGTCACGCAAAGTATCCACGTCAATGCAACTCGTGCAGGGGACAATCAGCGTGCGTCCAACCAACAACAACCTGATGCTGCTATTTAGACTCCACCACGCTCCCTGCCCATCAGCAACAAAGGGCGCCCGCCTGACACTTCTACAGGGAAGGGCTATTTATAGTCAAGAAAAACGCAGCAACGCCAACGTTTATCATTTATATTGTAATTGCGCGCTTATGACAATCTTGACAATATATACAGATGTCTATATATGTATACGTACATATATATGTGTGTCTGAATGTACGCAGGCTTGTTTACAATTCATGGCAACCACAATAACAACTAGAGGGAATCAGGCCTTAACATCTATGCAACTAATCAGCAAAACTATGTTGCTAACTGAATCTACATATGTATGTACATATACATATGTACATACATAAGTATAAGATAATTCCAATTTATAGCCGTATTAGACCCCCATACATATATGCACATATGTCTGATAATTTATAAGAAGCGAGAGAAACTTGATATCTGGATTGAAAATAGTTATAAATTCCGTTCTGAGGTCGCACTTCCAATTAACAGTTGTTTGGGGAATAAACAATAATATACACACATATGTATATATATATGGGTAATAACAAAAGCCGATAGAGGCTCGACGCCTTGTGGATATGTTCAAAGCTCTGGGAATTAGTCACGACAAGTAAAACACATACATACATACATAGATATATTTAGAATAACAGAATTTAAATAAAATAGAGTGGTGGTTTTTAGTTGACTCTCATAGTGACTACAATTTTCTAACTCTACCTCCTTTAAATACAATCATAATATAAAGAAACGCACATTATTTTAAATGTCCAACAATTCTGTTGGAATACCCCTATTCCTTGTACAAAAATATCATTGTATTATATATCGTTTTATTACTATTATAGTATATATCGGTTTATTTCTATAGTATTAATGAAATCATATTAAATGGCCACACTGTGGTTGGCTTCTTTCTTTTTCTTATTAACTCTGTTCGAGGGAGGTTGTGTTCCTGGTGTTGCGGTATAAAATATAAAGTAAAATATAAAACCATACAACATATATCTTGTGTTTATATTTAAATATATAATTGAAGCATATAATTCAATAAATTCTTGTAAAACCTAGAAATATAAGGCATAAAGCTCTATCAATATTGTAGATATTGCAGATTGGCCAGGCAAAGGAATACAAAATACATATGTATATTTTGATTACATCCTGATAGAAGACGTTACGGAAAAAACCTGAAGCTGTCTTTGTTGTTGTTGCTGCCACAGCTGTCAGTGACGGCGTAAAGACAAATACAAGTGATAATCACAAAAAATGGAAAATATTTGGTTTTTAAGATAACTTTGGCATTGTATTTGATAAACCTACGTATGTGCACACATATGTACATATGTATATAAGTACATATATATATACATATACATATATGTATGTACGTATGCTCATATGACGTACGCATATTCAGACGCACTCCTATTGGCACTTGTTTGCGTGTTGCAAGGCAGCAATAAGTGTAGCAGCTGATTTCTCACTTTCAATACAAAGTGCCCGCTGGGCTTTGGAATGTTATGTGTTGGTCTGGGTTATGCTCAGAGTTATGGGATATATGAACTTACCAAATCGTAAACATCAATGAGTACGCTACGCGGCAGCTCGCGTAGCTTGTGGATGCGGTCCAGGGAGGGCACACTGGTGTCCATGCTACCAACCACTGCCTTAAGGCTCAAATCGTACAGCATTTTGGGATTGTTATTGTTGTTTCTTCCAGCACAGGCCGCAGATATTAATGCGAAAAGCTGTGCTTCCATATTATGTGTGTGTTCAATGATTCGTAGATTTTCGCACCGTCGCAATTCGGATCGAAAGTTGCGCGAGGTGCGGAATAGGAAATAACTATGCTTCGCCTTCGTCTACTGCTTTGGGAACTCTGCAACAAGTTTGTTGAAAGACACACACGTTAGGGAAAATTGAAATTAGAAGAAAAGCTTAGGCTGGTAGCCTAAACAGGCACATGTGCCTGCTCGCACACAGCTAATCAAAGTGGCAGTGGCAACAACAGTCGAAGTCGTAATTGTTATGACTGACAGACTTGGCTGGCTTGCCTATTATATTTTGGCTATGTGCACCAAACATACACACACAAACAGAAACCCAAGCACACTTGCGCTCACTTCACTTTCTTCCAAGATGTTCTTCGTTTTTCCTCTCTTTTCCCTTACTAACAACAGCAACTTTGCAGGTTTGTTTGTGAATTCGCTGAGATTGGCAAAATATGTGCTCGGTTTTCTAGATCAATATATTTATGAAGCGCAGCTAAATTGACTTACACGATGTCGAATTCATCTAATTTTAAACTAACAATACGTGTGCTAGTGCTAACATTAACTTTAACTTCGAAACTTTGTTTTCTTGCAATTCCTATATCTTATAGTTAGTGATGTGCAAAATATATCGATATATCGCTTGAAAGCCTTATGGGCGATAAATATGTGTTGAACAACACTAAAATACGAGATGCGCGCTCTTCGCTTTTCAATTGACAGACGTGTATCAGTACAAAAAATATTTTTGTATGATGATGATGAGAAACACAATGTAAAAGGCCGTTAGTTTATATACGCATATGTGTGTGTGTGCGAGTAGAACAAAGAATTTCGGATGTCACAGCCAATATACATGCGTATACATTTGTTTTTAAACAACTACTTTGTGCGTTTACTGAAATAACGTATCTTATGATACTAACTACCCGCAATTGAATATTTGTATGTAACACATATGTACATACATGTATGTAGTTATTAGTTATGTAATTGTATTCACCATTTTTAGCTTTATTTTCTGTTTGCTTTTGTATACATACACTTTTATATGGAAATCTAGTGGAATATTAATACTAAATTAATATTAGCTATTAAACAAAATTATGATGCGAAATAATAAATAAGCATTCTTTCAAAAATAACCTCTTGACTTAGTCTGGTTCGCGTACTAGTGTGCTAACAAAACAAGTTTTACCAAAAAATAATACACACATACATATGTTTCAAAATACTTACTAATTCAAATCGAATCTTAAAAGTTTAAGTTCGCATGCCGTTGTATAAGTTGTCAATTGGTAGTTCTTGGACTCAATAGCTCCAGGAACAATCTGACGCATACCTTTTACATCATATTCTGATGTCCTTTTCCAGGCCTTCACAGGGCAACAATCAATCATATACCAATTAAATAGCTGTGCCGATTACACGTGGATTCCCATTTCGAGGCTTTTCTGCGTTGACGGTAGTAACAACAATAATATGTACATATGCATATGTATGTATGTATGTACATATTCTCTTGAATATTTTTAATTTAATATAATTTCACTTTCCACCTTGATAATACAGTAGTAGAAGTAGTGGAAATTCGTAATCCAAATGGTCATTTCTGTTTTAATTCAATTTGTCCTATTACATGCTTTTTGATGTTAAATTATTGGCAATTGTTGTTAGTTGAAGATAACATAGCAATATCTGGTATGTGATGAATCCTTCCGTCTTCAAACGCATCTCCACCAAATTTGATATGCAGATTATGTTATTGATATACTTGTGCATACATAGATACATGCATACAGACATACAAGTATGTATTTAAGTATTTTTCACTGAATCCAAAGGAGGAAGGCATAGGTACTGTAAATCCTAAGAAGTTGGAAGCAAATACATGACTAGTTTTTTCTTTTTCTTTAAATACTCCGAAAATATAAATTTCTCCACATACCTAGAGGCATGAATTCTGTGCAACTTCAAGGGGCGGCATTCGTGAGTGCAATAAAATGTAAGCAGCTCCAATAAAAAAAAATCAGTTTGCAATCATTGTGGGTAATTGAATTTAATGCAAATCTGTTCATGAATTTTCCAAAATGCTGCAAACATGCAACTGCAGGAACAACAAGTCGTATTCATGCTTAAAGGTTCTGCTCTTTTAGTTTGGCGGACAAAACACGCGCAAATTAAAAATGGCTGTAAACAACAACAACACGCACATTGTGTGTGAATGTAAATAATTTAATTTTTTTTTTTTTTGCTATGCGCTGTGATTAGCTCGCAGTTAATTCAAATGCAGGTAATTTGTGCCAGTCATTTATGCTGTGTATGTGTGTGTGGGTATGTGTGTGTGAGTGTGTGTGTTTCACTGAATTTGTTCCAAGCATGCAAATGCAGCTGACACTCGCCATCGAGCACGCCCCGTCCATTGACGTGCCGCGTAAAGAGGTCTCGGTCCCGCTTCCAAACCTGTTCAATGGCTTCGAAATTGGCGAATGCGACTGCCTCGCAGACGACGGCATTGAAGGGAGTGGCAAGGAATAGCAGTTATGTAATACCCGGACTCTATGATCTCTCCATCGAGGACACCAACTGGGTGTTGACCTCATCCTTCATCATTTTCACAATGCAAACGGGCTTCGGTATGCTGGAATCGGGCTGTGTTTCGATCAAGAATGAGGTCAATATCATGATGAAGAACGTCATTGACATTGTGTTGGGTGGCTTCACATACTGGCTATTTGGCTATGGGATGAGTTATGGGCGCGGACCATTATCTAATCCTTTCATAGCCATCGGAGACTTTCTGTTGGATCCCCCAGTTGGGGATGCACTAATGGGTCAAATCTTCGCCGCATTTCTTTTTCAGCTCTCGTTTGCGACTACAGCGACGACCATCGTCAGTGGTGCTATGGCCGAGCGGTGAGTAACAGCTTTTGACCTTCACCCTCTCCGATCTTCACTAATCTGGATTCGGTGCTGGCAGATGCAACTTCAAGGCCTACTGCATGTTCTCATTTCTCAACACCGTCGTCTATTGCATACCCGCTGGCTGGGTGTGGGGCGAGCATGGATTCCTAAATAATCTGGGCGCTGTGGATATTGCAGGGAGTGGTCCAGTTCATTTGATAGGTGGTGCCTCGGCCTTTGCATCGGCCGCCATGCTAGGTCCGCGCCTGGGTCGTTATGCTGATGGGTATGATCCCCTACCGTTGGGCAATCCAGTGAACGCCTGCATGGGACTATTTGTGCTCTGGTGGGGCTGGTTGGCCTTTAATTCGGGCAGCACCTATGGTGTCAGCGGCGCCAAATGGCAGTATGCGGCACGAGCCGCCGTCATGACGATGATGGGCTCCTTTGGCGGTGGCTGCGTCAGCTCCCTGTAAGCCTACTAAGTAATGCCCTTTATTCAGGGACTCAAACCCTAACGGTAAAGTGTCTGAGATACGCGAAGGTATTTGTATTTTATACGTAAAACCGATTTGATTTCGGGTTCGTTCCGATACGTGTGTATATCAGTTTTCAAATCGGTTTCGGTTACGTACCTTCAGTGAAATATATAGAATCGGTTCAGCTTGGCTTCCGCGTCGAGTTAATTCTTCTTTAAAATAATGGTTTATTAGACAAACTATCGACATTATTAATAATAATACTAATTGACCGAGATACATGAAGGTATTTGTATTTTATACGTAAAACCGATTTGATTTCGGGTTCGTTCCGATACATGTGTGTAATACAGTTTTAAAATCGGTTTCGGTTACGTACCTTTAGTGAAATATATAGAATCGATTCAGCTTGGCTTCGGCGTCGGGTCTTCATCCTCTGTTAGTCGAGTTTTTGTTCTCGTTTTGTATTCCGTTTGAGTCCCTTTAATGACAAGTCTCTATCACTCAGCAATTTTGTACAGCTTTAGCTTTTGGCGTCATGACGGCCGCATGGACATAATGGATCTGATCAATGGCATCCTGGGTTCGCTCGTCTCGATTACCGCTGGCTGTTTCCTGTATCGTGCTTGGGAAGCTCTGCTGATTGGGGCACTGGGATCGCTGCTCTGCGTGCTCGCTATGCCCCTTTTCGATCGGATGGGGGTGGACGATCCGGTGGGTGCCAGTGCGGTGCATGGCGTCTGTGGAATTTGGGGTGTCATTGCTGTCGGCCTGTTCGCCGATAATCCCATACCACTGGAGACAACAAAAGGACGCAGTGGATTGTTTAAGGGCGGTGGCTGGTACTTGTTGGGTATACAGGTGCTCTCAGCCTTCTGTCTGGCCTGTTGGGGCATCTGCTCCACCTTCCTGCTCTTGTATGTGGTGAACAAAATCATACCCATACGCATGGATCCCAATGAGGAGCTCTTGGGGGCTGACCTCATGGAGCATCGCATTCGACACACACAAATTGGCTTGTCCCGTGCCATCTCAGCACTGGCACCCATTAAGATCGATCTCCACGAGATCTCAGGCGTGCAGCCCATTGGCATTAATCCAGGCCACGAGCGCAGCATCGAGCAGTTGCGTGCGGCTGACGACAAACTGCAACAGTGGCAATCCTTTCTGCAGCAAGTTGGCGGTACTCCAGCCAACTCAAAGGCGCCACAGCAGCAGGGCGCATCCGAAGACCTGGAAACGGACATCAAATTGAATATAAAGTCGCCGATTAAGCAGCTCAGCAACTTGTTTGGACGCAAGCTCAAATCTGTGCACATCCGAGAGCGTCAGCCATCAGCACATCCTGCCAATCAGGAAGTATACAAGTCCTACAACAGTGAGGTACCTGCGCCGCCCAGCGCCCAGAAAGTGGACAAGGATGGTAACTTCGCTTGGGTGGATTAAATGAACCAGCGTTGCTCTTGAAAATAACATATTTAAATCGAATTGATTGTTAGTTAATTCTTTTTTTTAAATTATGGCTTTTTAGACAAACTATCGACAAAACAAATGTATAATATAACTTTTAGATCTCTCCTGTTTAAGCAAGTTTCAATTCCTTACCGAAAACTATATAGAGTGCTATCGCAGGTTAAAACATACATATACATATGTACTATATACACAGTTTAAAATAGAGTCTTTGGCTGCATATGCTATATTGTTTTAAAATAACATGTTCTGAACCCAAATAGTATCTCAGGCTCAATCTATTTTATGCTATAATATTTCGATATAATTAAATAGCACATTTCCAGAAAGGTAATTACTCTGGAGCAACTAAGTCGCCCACCCAAGCAATTCTACGAGTTCAGGCCGTATAACGTATCACCGATTCTATTTTATTAATGCAATTTTGTTATCCAATATATAAAAGTCTAAAGCGTCTAAAGCTTGGTTCTATTGTTTTGTTATCCTGTTTTGTAGTCCTGTTAAAACAGGTCTATGGAGTCGTCATCGATTTCCACGAGAGCATAGTCGCTGGTGCTGCCGAACATCCACCAGTGCCGCAAAATATTCCGGATGAGGAGGCAGCGCGTGGTCACAAATTCGAAGAAGTGGAAGAACAGAGCACTCGAGGTGAGCAACGCGCAGGAGGCCACAAAAACCTCCTGCACGCTGAGCTGTTCGGTGCTGCCCTGATTGAGATTGTCCATGCACTGGAGTACCTGTACACAAGAGAAGAACCGCAGATAAGCGTGGATAAGGGCACGGGTCACATGTCGCCGGAGACGAGCGAGTCGGGCGCACGCGCTCACCTGCTGCAGGATCACGTGGGCCAGGGGCATGAGCGAGGCGCTGAACAGCAAGTGCTTCACAATCAGGCCACAGCAGCGACCACAGCAAAAGGTCTTCAGCATTTGCTTGAAACTGAGGCGATCCTCTGAGATGTCGTAGATGGCGTGGCATATCTCGCAGCGATTGTCGCGTTGATGCATGATCCAGCGCTTCAGACATTTCATATGTATGTAGCCCTAAGAAGATGCGCTACAGTAACGCGAGCTCTGTAAGGTCTGGGCTCCCACTTCCCTTAAGTCTCACCAGAAGTTCTGGACTCTTAACAAAAGTGGGAGCCGTGAAAAGTGGGATGCGATGCCATTGCACTTACCACGCTGCCCTTGCAATTGCAAGGACAACTGATAATCTCCATATCGCTCCGATTCCAGCGACAAATGCGACACGAGTTGCCAAACTCATTCGCGGAATGAACGCTCTCCTGTAAGGTATATGCGGGCGCTGGGATCTGTGAGAGCACACCCAGAGTAGTCACATTATTGCTGCCACTGCCGCAGGCATTGCCACATCCAGTCGCAGTCGCATTTTCAGGGGTCGTGGCAGTGTTGCCAGTGTTGCCAGGGTTACCAGCGCTGCCGACCACGCTGTTGAACAGACGGATGGCCGTGGCCTCCGACAAGGTGCGCTGTGTGCTCGGCATTCTGCTGCGAGGCGGAGGCAAGTCAAACAGCGGCGTGTTCGTGTTGGTGTTGGTGTTCCTGTGCCTGGCATTCATGTGCACGCAGCTTCTCAGCTTCTCCCTGCTCGACCTTACCAACTGACTGACTGCTTCTGGAGCTGCTTGTGGAGCTGCCGATCTCTATGTGAAGGATGGATGATGCTGTCAAAGCGTGCGCCCGTCTTGACTCTAATTTTTCTCTACCAAAAAATTTACACAAAATTTCGTCTACACATTGTACAACAAACTTAATGATATGATGTTTGAAATCGTTTGTTATTTTTTTATTTATCTAGATACTAATGCAAGCGACTATGAAAACAACGGCAACTCTGTCAGTACTGTTTGCGGGAATGGCTGCATCCCTTGCATCTGTGCTCTGGTGGTTATGGTCGCTTTAGCTTTTGGGCAAATATGTATACTGAATTGGCGAAGCAAAAAAAACAGTTTGTTCCTTATACTTGTAGTTCAGTTAAACAGACCATCCACAGTCGAATTTGCTGCCCGAATTTGTTGTGTTCGACGAAATGTTCGACGTTAGTGGAGGTGCTCGGGTTAAATTTGAGTGTTCGACGTTTTGTTCGCAAAGAACACACATGTTTATATTCTGTACATGAAATGTACAAGAGTACAAGAAGTGTTCCAAAGTAAACAAGACTTGTTTAAAATAAAAAAAAACAGAACAAATGGTTTTTTCGGCAAAATCAGTTTATTTTATTCAAAATAGTCTCCATCTGCTTCAATACAGCTTGTTGCACGATCCAAAAGCATGTCGAATGAGTGTTTTAGCTCGTTGGCCGGTATGGCCGCCAGTATGCCGGTGCAAGCGTTTTGAATGGCCTCTACGTCTACATAACGCTTTCCTTTCATGGGCAAATGCATTTTTCTGAAAAGGTAGAAGTCGCACGATGCCATATCAGGTTAATACGGCGAGTGATTAATGGTTAAAATGTGATTTTTGGTCAAATAATCGGTCACAAGCGTCGATCGATGAGATGGATTCTGAGCAATTTTTGGTCGTCAGTCAATTTGTGCGGAACAATCCGTGCACACACCTTTCGTAAGCCCAAATGTTCGGTCAAAATGCGATAAATCGATGCTTTGGAGATGTTCAATTCCATTTCCATCAATTTCAATGATGATTTCGGCTGATTTTTGATGAATTCAGGCACAGTTTCGATGGAATTTTCAGTGATCACGAATTTTGATTGGCCCACATGTTGATCGTCATTTATGTCCTCACGACCACTTTGAAAACGTTGGAACCACTCGTGCACTCTGCTACGGGATAGGCAATCATCGCCACATACTTGTTCCATCAATTGAAACGTTTCGGTAAAAGTTTTACCAATTTTAAAACAAAATTTAATGTTGGCTCTTTGTTCGAAGCTCATTTTCTCACCAATAACACAAACATACTGACACCTAAAACGCAACTTCACTTCCAATCGATGAAATGTCATGAAGTTCTCACTGGACAATCGATAAAGATAGCAGATTCTAGCGCACCAGTCGACATATAGATAGCGCCACCAGGGGGCGCTAGATTCAAAAAGTCCTGTTTACTGTGGAACGCACCTTGTAATTTGAGCTCATGATACATTTTAAAATACTATATATACTCTTGAAATTGTTTGTATCGGTTCAATTCTCAAAGCAAACCGAAACGTTTTATAGATTGGAAAGCCGTTTAGAAAATTATGTGTATTTATATATAGTATGATAGCCGACGCGTCGTGCGTGAATCGTGAGCACAAACTGTCACGATGCACGGCTCAATTGCAGACAACATACATTTTGAAACGAAAAGACACACGTTCTAATTATGATATTTCAAAACGGGTCGGGACAACGGAAAAAATCGGAAAAGCCCTACAAATTGGGCAAAACAAGAGAAAGCAAGCCCGATAGTGAGAAGCAAAAAGAAGAAGAAGAGCGAACTTGATGCTGCAGTTTGTGGGTGTAGTACTGGATTGAAATTATTATGTGATAATAAGTTTTCTTAGAATTGACCAATATCGATGAAATTTAAAACAAAAGTAGATAATTGAATGTAGATTAAATTATAGAAGAGAATATAGATTAGCAAGGGCGTAGGCAGGGGGGGGGGGGGGAATGGGGCTACAAAATATATTGCCATATACAAGTAAAGTCTCCTTAAAATGGATCTGAGTTGGATTTGTTGAAGTTTTTCCATTGATCATATGCCCCCCCTTTGGTAAAAGCTGCCTACGCCCTTGTAGATTAGATTCGCAAAGTTTGTGTAGATTTTGAATTGTGGGGGAATGGGAAGTAACCCAAAAAATAAAATAAATAGGTGTTGCCTGGATATTTGGGGAGTCTACATAACAACTTTGGTTTATGTAGCTATCGAAATGTGGACAGTATTGACGAAATTCTGTAGCGGGGAAAGTAGGGAAAATTACAAAAAAAAAAATTCTTTCTCAGGATACCAACTTTGGTTTTCCCAGCTTTTATAGTTTTTGAGATTCCTGCGTTCATGCAGACAGACAGTTTTTCTCTCGTCATGCTGATTAAGAATTATGTATAAGAATATGTATATATTTTATAGGACGTGCCTTTGTGTGTGTGTAAGTGCAGGCTCTGCTGGCATAGCATGGACAGATATTATATTTGTGGCTAGAACTTCATTTTGGGTTGACACTGAATACCGAGGTCGATGAAATTGAAAAAATTTACACAAAATTTCGTCTACACATTGTACAACAATCTTGATCCTAAATGTGTTACAACTATTATTTTTTGAGAACTCCGCCAGTTTGAAAAACACTTGTCTTCTTTTTGTTAATATCATCGTTTAATATATTTAATATATTTGTATATGTGTGTAAATAATTACAAATAGTTTCAAAATGTCTACGCCCACGCCCACCAAGGTGTGAATCGAGGCGTAGCAGCACGTTAGTGAAATGTTCGATTTCGTTTGTATTAGTTTCCTGTTTTTCCATTGAAGTCGCAAAACGCCAATGCATTTATCGTTATATATGTATATAGGTAGTACTATATGGTTTTATTATATAATGTATTACAATGTTTTCATCGAATTTTCATCAGCTTGGTTTGTTAGTAAGATTGCTGCAATGCAATGCATATTCATATATATGTATGTTTATATATTTAATAATTACAATCAAGACAAAAAAATCAACAAATTAATGAATAGTTTTTAATTCAATAACAAATAAAAAACACGTTTCTTTATAAAAAAAAAATTATTATATAAAAAAAGATGTAACACAAAAATGTCGCACAAATGTATTTGCTGTTTTGTTCAACATGACGAGCCTGCCAAATGTGTGTGGGGGTGTGCGTCGTGAGTGTGTGTGTCAGATGGCTGCCCAAAAGTATGCCACAGTATTTTGTTATAGAAAGCTTAACATTTTAATGAGTTGAGTGTGTGTGTGTGTGTGTGTGGGGGGGGGGGGGGGGGGGGGGTTAGTAGGTTTAGAGACTTGTGCACACTGGTCTGCCTGGTCCCACGCCTCACTGACAATTACGGAAACGCCGCCAGATGCTCTGCACGTAGACAAAAACGCACTTCCAATCCGGCCGACTCATCTCCACCATATCCTCTACGTCAAGCAATGGCGCTATTCCCGCTTTTTCGCTGCAAAAATATGAAAAGTTAACAACGAGCTTGAACAAATATTTTGATAATAGGGACACTAAATCGAAGTCGCGTACAGATTTGGTTCAATCCAGGGGCGTCTATAATTAGTGCGACTCTTTGAAGCACTTTATGGTGACCCCGAACCTTATTTAGAATCATGAGATTCATTTTAGTTCATTCTTTCACTAAATTTTTTCAAAATTAAACAGTATTTTTAAACGCGGACATTCGATTTGATTTCCATAATTTTCTTATCCTTTCATACTTACTCAGCCACGCCAAAGGCCAATTCAAAGTTGTGTCTTCGATTTTGTTTTGTTAGTGTACTGTAGTCAAATGCTTTTGGCAAGAAATGATGTATCAGCGCACAAAAGGCTAAGCCATCTGACCAGCTCGAGCTAAAGTTTGTTATTTGGACGTTCTGTGGAGTAGAGGATATTGAATTATTTCTCTGCCACGGAAGAAAGATGGGGATGGAAATTGGCAGGCATTAAGATATATATTATGTTCCAGCCCAATTTCATGCTAGTCCATGAAAGCAACAACAATGGCAACGGCAATTCTTTTGTTTTGGTTTTCGTTTTTAGTATAAGCACAAAAAAATGACATTAAGAAAAGGCTAAGCTGCATGGAGTGGCCAAAATTAGTTCGCTTGGTTGGCTATTCTTAGAGCAAGGAAAAGAAAAAGCGAGAGTAAAAAGCCTGGCATTATGCTTGGTTTGGTTTGGTTTGTTATTGAGATTCGCAGAGGACGGCCAAATAAAAGAAATGAGCTAAAAATAAAATGAATAACAACTCATAACAACATAGAACAGAAAAGAGATAACGGTCTATAGCTGCAAATGCGATTTTTGCGCTTTGCGATTTGTGGGCTGCTGCTGCTGCTGGTTAGGATAGGATACCTCATATTCCTGCGTTTTTTGCTGACACCACTGCAGAAGTTGATCCTTGACAGTGGCGGCGCGCGCATTTAGTGCCGGATCGGTAAATTTGAATAACGGTTGTACTGAACCGCCTGGGGTCGTGGGTGTGCTTGTTGTTGGAGATGATCTGAACGAAATGATTGAATGGAATTGAGGGGGCAGACGTTTTAGCGAAACTCTCACACAATTCAATTTATCATATTGATATTATTTATTATTTAGCTTGTATCTATATGTGTGTGTGTTTGGTTTTTTTTGGTTTTTTTTTTTTTGTTAGCAATAATCAACAACAAATATAAGTGGTAGATAAAACTATTTGTATTTATTTCTATTTTATTTCATTTTGCCTTTTTTTTTTGGGGGGGGGGGGGGGGGGGGGTTCTTTCAATGTTCGTGCTAATTATAAAAATCCAATATCTTCATTGTGGCAGGGACGTTTTTGCAGAGACAGTGAGAGAGAGAGGGCGAGATAGTGAGAGAGAAAGACAGTGAAGGTCGTAGGGGGAAAGTGGGGAAGAGAAGGAATAAAAAGAAGTGCAATTAAGAAAATAATCTGCCCTGGCCTTTGAGTGAACAGCAGAGTGACGGGAGAATTGAAAAAAGGCATAAAGTGAAAAGGGACAGTTCAAATTTGCTTACAATTTAGAATACAATATAATCACAATTATCGGATTATGTGTGGCAGAGAGGTGGGGCAGCAAACACCATGGACCGTACAAATAACATAAGATGCTACAAATTAAGGTGAAAGTACTTGTCATTAAATCAAGCAAGGACCGATTGTCTTTAAAAACACTCTTGAGGGACCCTTTACTGGGATTCGAACACATTTTAAGTTCAACTAATTTCTGCCTTCATAGATTGTGAAAATTACATTATTTGCGAGTATTTAGATGCATTGTTGGTGTAGGTATGTGTAGTATGTATGTATTTCTGTTAAGTATTTGTGCCCGCTAGGACTGTGTACATATATGCTCTCTTGTGTGTTCACCTTCACCCAATTGTGTGTTAACTAGATTCTTAATAACTAAAACAAATCAGTTGTGTAGCTTATTTTGATTGAAGAGCGGGTGCCCTTCTTTTTGTGCAATGCAATGAGTTTCTAACCAAATGCATACATACATACATCTATGAAGTTTCAATTCCACGAGCCAATAAGATGTGTCTTTCTAATGTACATATATGTATGTGTGTGTGTATATCTCTTATCTACTTGTATGTATATGTGTAGTATTAAGCGGTTAATAGATGTATCTGAGCAGTGTGCTTACTTTTGCGCTTGTTGTTGTGCGGCCTCTTTATCCAGCTGCTTGAACTTGGCCAGCGGTGAAATATTCTTGGATGCAGCGCTGCCGCCTACAGTGCGTGTGGTAACTGTAAAATGGTGCAAATTAGCAGGTGTATCTAAATATCTAAGTAGCTACATACATAAATAGCAAACAGTATGTTTATTTGCAGGCATAACAGAATTATTGTGCATCCTAGTTAACTCAATCAATTCAATAAGAGAAATATGCATTTTATTCTTAGAATTAGATTGAATTTTAGAACTTTAAATTAAATGTAATTCACAAGAGATAAATTGTAAACGAAGTATCTCTACGAAAGTCTCTAATCAACACGACCATATAAAGCTATGGAAGGTATCGCGGAGAAATTGGGAACGATGCAACGGCTTTCGAAAATAATACAAGTAACAGTCTGATGGGATATTGTTCAGACTAACTTGAATAATTTATGTATTCGGTTTTTCGATTATCTTAGAATTTAAAAGAAATCATTTGTTTCTAGTCTTATTAGCCCTCGTATGTGTCAGATGGTTCTCTTAAAATACTGTATGCAAATTGTAAGCATAATTATATGTTCTTTGAAGTATCTAGCAGATACGCTGCAACATACCTTTTGTTGTTGTTGTGGTCACAACGGCGCCACCATCCTTCGACTTGGTCTCAGTGCGTTCGCTGGTCGTTGAGCTTTGTTGCTGTTGTTGTGCTGTATGAAGAAACGTTTAAGGTTTGCGTTTTTGTATTTTTTTTTTTGGTTTTTTGGTTTTGCATTTGTGGCAGACACAGAAAAACGAGAGAGAGAAAAAAGAAGCAAACATTACGAAATTAGTAAAATGCATGCACAAGATCAATTACAAGGAAATCAAATTAAACAAAATGCGACACATACAGATGTGTGTACAATACGAATATTAAATCATACATATTTCAATTAATTATAGAAAATAATAAACATCTGTGTTTCTTACACTAGCAGGCAACAAATATACATACGCTACGCAGCAAAAAAAAAGAGGAAAATTAAAAGAAAAATGGATGAACAGTTAAGAAAACATATAGTAAACAATTTATCGCGCTACATTCAGAGCTAGACAAAAAAAAAAACCAACAACAAAAATTTGTTGCATTCATTTAGGCGCAGAGCGCAACGACTGGCAATGGAACAAATTGCCGATCGTTTCAGACCACTGCTAAGCCACAAAAATTAAAATAAAGTGCTGTGTGATAAAAACCGAAGCGTTGATATGGTGTGGCTGCCGTTGTGGCTGTGGTTGTGGTTGTGGTTCGTGTTTGGTGGCGGCTGGTGGTGGTGCTGATTGGTTGTTCGTGGCTGCTGACTATTTGCTGTTTTTGCGCAGTTTTGTCTTTGGAACAGCATCGAATTTTGGGCATGCAAAATAACTTTTTATTTCTATACAAATTATGTACAACTTAAAAGCTATGTATGTATGTGTTCAGAAATTGCATGCTCACGAATAGAATAGAAAAGAATGGAACGAAACGAAACGAGAAAATAAACAACGCGCACAGACAAGCGACAAAAACCGCGCAGCAAACGCAGCTACTGTCCAAAACGCGACTGTACACAGCAATTTTAAAAAAGTAAAGTGTGCGTCTTGGATTTTGGGTTTTTTTTTTTTGTTTTTTTTTGAATGATTAACAGTAATGACATAGAAAAAAAGGAGGGACAACATGGGGTTTTATTTGTATTTGTTTGTGATTTTGATTTTGATTTTGTTTCTTGCCTGGGACCAACCAACGAACGAACGAACGAACGGGCGCAATGAACGCAAGAAACGCAACGGAATGAAACAAATTATCGTTTTACGAGTATATAGCAAAATAAAAGCGCTGGGTGTCTTACTATGTATAGTATGTACAATTGATCTTTGTATACGAGTATGGGAGAGAGAACGGCAGGCAAAAAAAACAAAAAAAAAAACAGAATATACAATGTGCTTATACGAGTATATGGCTGTATGTACACGTATATATGGCTGTTAGGTTGGGCGTAATATGTAGCATTGGTAGTACAAAAGGTGGCAAATATTGATTCAACTCAAGACGTATTGAAAATTTGTTTGGCGGGTGAAAAATTGGCAACGCTGTTTGTTTAGATTTAGATTTTGGGTGCATCGCAACTATCATTACAGATTGTTGTTGCGTTACCAACAGTAACGTACTAATTCACTCACAAATCTTGAAATAGAGCTCAAGCTGTTGTGCTGTTGTTTCTGTTGCTGTTGCTTCAGCTGATGGCCGTTGTTGCAGTTGCAGTTGCAGTGGCAGCTATCGTCCTTTGGGGCCTTTTCGGTGCAGCAAGGTCAATTATTCAGACTGCCCTTATATGCAATATGTGTGTGTGCTGGTGTGTGTGTGCGTGTGTGTGTGTGTATATAAGTTTGCATAAAAATTGTCTTTAATTTATAATAAAAAAAACCACATGTAGTCCCTCCTTCTGACATCGTCGCTAGCTCTAATTAAACTAATTACACTTCGAAAGCAAATACCATAAGTGGAACGCGAAAACAATATTGAAACGCGGACTAGAAAAACGAAACTAAAACTAAAACAAAAGGCTAAACCTAAACCTACATTCAACAGTAGCGAGTAATCAGTACAATATTGTTGCTCATAGTTCTTGTTCTTCTTCGGTCTTGTTATCTGTCGTCCAGTTGTGTGTTCAGTGCTGACCCACAAGTGGATGCAGCGGTCAAACTGGAATGGCTGCGGGCACAAGTCACAAGGTAATGATGACCTACATGACATGGGCAACTAGGTGCCCAGCATGAGCTGCTCGAATGCATCCTCCACATTGCTCTCGTCAAGCAAATTGAGATGCGCAATGTGCGGCATGGTGGCACTACGACTGAGACCACCACCGAAGCCGCCACCACCAGCACCAGCGCCAGCACCACAGCCGAAGCCCGCATAAATGCCGGCCGTGGAGACATTACCATTCGAGCTGGCACCAGTCAGCGAGCTGAGCGATTTGCGCGCTGCCGACACTTTCTCGCTAGTCTTGGTTCGATTAATCGCCGATTTCCTGGTCGTCACTGTTCGCACCTCCTCCTGCTGGTGTGCCCCAGTGGGTGATTTCTGTCCCGAGAAATACGCCGCAACCGTACGCTGTTTCTCGCCTATGTGCGCCTTATCAATGCCCGCTTCATAGAGCTTTGGCACGGATAGCGAATGTCCCGACTTAGTTCGACGCAGTTCGTTTCCAGCCGGTGACATCGGCTGATTATATTTGGGTTGACTTATAACTGTTTGCTGCTGGCAGATTTGGTTCCAGGAGTCGCATTTGCTCAGACGATTGATGCGCGGACTACTGCCATGGCTGTTGCTGTTGCTGCTCTGGAGCTCCTCCTCATGTGTGTTGCGACGCGAAAGGGAGGTGAAGGCACTGACGTTGTTGAAGACGATGTTGCGTGGTATTTGATCCTCGGATGCTGGCTGTGGTGTTGCCGGTGTCTCCACAATGCTCGGCTTCGAGTTGTGCGTCGAGTGCTGCACAATTTCCCGCTGGGTTGCTGTACTTGTCGTTGTTGCTGTTGTTGTTGTTGTGCTTACTCGGCTGCTGGTGCTGGTGCTGCTGCTGCTATTACTAGTCTTTGAGCCACCCACCTGTGGACTCTGATATGCATTGGGCACATAATGATGCCGCTGTGGCGGTCCGAACTTTTTCAGTATCGGCGCATTTTCATCCTTGGGCAGTGAGGATTTGACAATGTCCGGCGTGTCCGACGGTGCTGAGCTCTTGTATTCCTGCTCCTCAAAATACGCCAGCTTTCGCTGCTGCTGCTGTGTGTCCAGGACATTGCCAAGACTCTTTCGCCGCAGCTCACTGCTCAGCTCCTGCTGACTCTGGTGGCTCTGTTGCCGGGTACTGAACACGTTCTGTTGTCGAGTCACGAGAGATTGCTGAGAGAGTACGCGGTTCTGAGACTGCAAGGGTGTTATGCTGGAGCTACCGCCGTCTATTGTATGCTGCCTCAGCATTGGTGCCTGGGGGCGTTGGTATTGAATGTGTGGCGCTGGTGCTGACGGTGCGGCCGGTGCTGCCAGGGTTGGTGGCTGCTGCTGCTCGTACCGCTGGCTGGAAGTCTCACTTATGGTGTTGCTACGTACACTCAGCTTGGGTCGCTGCTGCGATGCCTGTACCTGCGGTTGTGCCTGCGGTGGCGGCAGCTGTGGCTTGGGTGCTAGCTCTGGCTTGTTGCTGCGATCCACCGGCGGAGGTGCATACTGGGGTTGGGGCTGTATCTGTGGATGCGAATGATGTCGTGGCTGGGGCTGGGGCTGGGGCTGTGGCTGCTGTCGGGGCAGCTGTACATTCGTATAGTGTTGGTTGCGCAAAACTTGCGCGGGCTGTGATGATGGTGGTGGCATAGATAAATCCTCAACTGCATGCGCTGGATTCGCTGTCCAGCTAGTGCTCGGCGAGGGTAAGTTGTGCAGCGAGGGTGTGGAGCTGGTGTTGGAGTGCTCCGATGGACGACGTGGCCTCTGCAGTGGCAACGACATTGGGTGCGGTTGCCGTTGCGACTGCTGAGAGTACTGTGAGTGCTGCGATTGCTGATAGAGGCTGTCCTGATCATCGGTGGAATCATCCACGGGATAGGTGACCACATAGGCCGCTTGTGTGTCACTGATGTAGGGGCGCGAAGGCTCCACATAGCTATCGGGTCTTTGCGGTGGGTGTTGATGGTTCTGTGGTCGTGGGTCCACAATCGGTGGTGGTGGCGTGTATGTGGGGTTTGCCTGATACTTGATGGGTGTTTGCGTGTTGGGCGGTTGTGCAGGATATGTTGGCGCGCGATTGGCCTCGAAATTTGTTACTTGCGGAAAGATTGGGTCCACCAATGGAGCCTGATATTGCCGTCCATCTGGTGATAGGCAGCCCGGCTTGGGTGAGGTAGGCGCGGTCAGTGGCTTGCGGGCACCGGCACCACCATTGCGCTTGCTAGATCGGTCATTGCCACCATTGCCCAGCTGTTGCATAGTGTACAACAAGGACTTGGCTGCACGGGAATTCTTGCCGAAAACTTCATCATCACTCATGTGGGCAGTGCGGCGACCTGCCACAGTAACCGCTGTCTGACTCTTTGGCTTGCGCATGACCTTCGTTTCGGCGCGATACTCCAACATATTGTTGTCTGAGTCGAGGTCCAGATCGTCGTCGGTGTTATCTGTCATGGCAGGAACGGTCATAAAGCTGGGACTTGTGGGTGCGCTATCTACAGGACTGGCATAGTCGAATTGACGCGGCGTATACGGTGGCACCAGATGGTCCGCGGTTGGTACTTGACCGTAACTGGGATTTGCTTGCGTTAGTACCAGGGGTTGAGCCATGGGATTGGTTAGAGAATCACGACGCTTCCGTGTTGGTTCCGCATACTCCACGGCACTGGGCAAGCAAGGATAGCTTCGATAATTACTAGCCAGTTGAGAATGCGGCACCACTGGAGCCGGCGGTAGGTCTGCATACGTGAATGAAATGTTGGTCGGCGGAGGCGGAGGCTGTGCAATAAATTCCTGATGTGGCATATATGCTGCTGGCTCGTAAGGATCCATAGCATTAGGCAGTGAAGGACGCTTTTTGAGCTCTGAATAGGGCTGGGACTTGTTCTTGGAGCGCAGCGAATTGTGACGTTGCAAATAGGGACTATGTGACAGTTGTTGTTGTTGTTGCATGTCCAGATTGTCGCGCAGCGAGCGCTCCTCAAAGTGATGGGCCTTGCGTTTGAAGTCGCTGTTATCCACCTTTGGCTTGGCCACCCAAGGAAGACCTATGGGCGAAGTAGCCGACGGCGATGGTGAATGGCTGCTGGAATACCCGACTCCCTTCGCCTGCAGAAACTGTGGCGAGGCAATGCTGGCTGGCTTGTTCTTGGACATCTGTGGCTGCCAAGTATTGGGGGCATGCGTTTTCTGGGGTATTGGCTTGTAGATGTTTTGGACTGGCTGCTGATTGTTTTCAATGGGTCGAAACACAGACTGTGGAGCATGGATGAACTGATTTACTGGTGAAGGGTCGGAGGCGTTTTGTGCCTGTGCCTGTGCGGCCGCAAGTCTCGCTTGTTCCCGCTCGTAGTATTCGCGTTCGAAACGCGCCTTCTGATCTAGTCGTGCTTGCTGCTCCAGTCTTGCCTGTTGATCGAGTCTTGCTTGCTTCTCCAGCTGCGCTAGTTGCTGTTCTCGCCGTGCCTGTTGCTCCAATTGAGCTTGTGCTTGAGCATGGGCTTGTGCTTGAGCATGGGCTTGTGCTTGTGCATGGGCTTGTGCTTGAGCATGGGCTTGTGCTTGTGCATGGGCTTGTGCATGCGCTTGCACTTGCTGCTCACGTCGCAGCTGATGCACGCGCTCCTGCTGCAGCCGCTCCTGTCGCTCGTGCTCGTAGCGCGCCTCTTGTTCGAGACGCAGCTGGCGCTCTCGTTCCAGACGCATCTCATACTCCTGACGGCGTTGACGCTCGGCCGCTGCTTGGGCGTGCTGTTGCTGCTGTTGATACTGTTGGTCCTGCTTGCTCCAGGATTGCTTGGGTGCCATCTGTGTATGGTTGGGCACATGACCCGGAACCTGGGGCGGTTTGCCAGTTGTTGCCGTTGCCGCCGCTCCCACCTCAAAGGTGTGCTTGATATTGCCAAACTTATTTGTCCAGTTGGACACGGAACGCTGACCATTCCAACCGAGACCCGCCTTATTGCTCTGTTTATTGATGAATGCCAAGAACTTGTGATCGTTCTCGGTCTTTGGCTCAAATGGTGGCACTACATTCTGCACTTTCCGCTTAACGCTCACCTGAACGGCGCGCTTTAGACCCAAATGGGGCCCACCCTTTCCCTCCTCTATCTCTGAGTCCGTATCACAGTCAGCATTATACTTCGTCTTGCCCTTGGGTATGTCAATGGTGTTGGCACGCTTCATCAATTGCTTCTTGTTGCCATTAAAGCGGATGCCTTTGCCATCTAACTGATCCGCCCCTGAAGCGGGGTCTTGGGTTGGGCGCTCCACAGCCGCTGCATAATTGGCGAAGCTGACAGTGTAGTCTCCAGAGAGTGGACGTCGATTGTTATTACTGGTCGAGGGTTTGAGCTGCTGTGGTATTGTGGGCTGACTCTTGGCGGGCACAAACTGATTGGGCCGATAGAGTTGTGTGGCTGGCGCGCTAGTATAAGTCGGGGGTGACGGATTCGGTTTTTTCGATGTTGCCACCGCCGTTGTTGTTGCTGATTGTGTTGTAAGTATAGCGCCCGATGAGGCATTCTTCTCCAACGGCACCGGACACCACTGTGGCGGCGTTAACGGCGTCACACTGCTGTCTGGCGTCGTGCAGCTAGAAATGCTCTCCATCATCAGCATGTCCTCCATGTAGCGACGCGCGTCGGCCAGCTCCTCGCGACTGACGCCAACCGTGTGACGACTGTTGCGGTTGCGTCGCTTCGCGAAGCGCTGACGACTCGTGCGCTGCTGTTCGATGGCCTCCGGTGAACTGGTCTCATCATATTTGGACAGCTCGGTGCCGAGACCGCTTTCGTCCTCGCGTCCCGGATCTGCAGCAGCAATGCCGCTACTTGCAATGAAGCTGTTCATCTCGGCCAACTGTTCTGGTGCACTGAGGCCGGTCTGGAGACGAGCCACAAGCGCCAGAAGTGCTTTACGCTTGTCTCCATCGACCGCTAGCTCCTTCCCTTTGCCCTCCTTCAGCGAGCACTCGAGGCGGCTGAGTGCTGCTGTTACCTCCGCGATGAGATTTGTGTCGTCGTCATCGTCGACGCAGCCACCATTGCCGCTCTGCTGTTGCAGCTTGTCGCGCAAGCCGGCGGCTAACAGACGCAAATCCTCGCCACTTTCCGTGCCCGAATCTTCTTTTTGAGGCACACTCAATCTCTTCACTTGTGTGACTTGACCCGGATTCGTATTGTTGTTCTTACTGTTGTTGGCCATTGTCTCAGTCGTGTTAGTTGTTGCTGCTTTTGTTGTTGTTGTTGTTGCTGTTGCTGTTCTGTCTTGTTTCTGCTGTGTGACTTGTGTTTTTCTACTACCTTGATCACTACTAATGCTACTAATATTTTTACTATTGCTATTTCTACTGCTATTGCTGCTGATTGGTGGCTTGCTGCGATTGCCGCTGCCGCTTCCGCTGGCACTGCTCTGCTGTTTGCTGCTGCTGTTGTTGCTCGTCACTTGCTTTGACTGCTCCTCTGACTGCGTCACTTGCTTTGGCAGCTTCTTTGCCAACGCTGACTCACCCTGCGTTGCTTTAACGCCACCGTCAGTCTGACTAGTCTCCTTGACGCTAATCGAGCTTGAGGTGCTCGCTGAAGATGTTTTCGTTGTCGACTTCTTAGCTGAGGCAGTAGTTGCAGTGACCTTGCTAGAGGCGCTCTCAACTTCCTCGCGCTTTTCAGCTTTGACTGCTTGCTCAACTTTCTCAGCAGTTGCAATGCTTGTGGCCTTTTGATCCGATTTCTCAGCGGCCTTAGTAGGTTTCTCCTTTTCTTCTTCCTCTTCTTCGTCACTGTAATCTGTTACCTCTTCAATTATTTCCTCATATTCGCTGGCACTGCTTTCTTCCTCCTCGGCATTGGTCTGCTCAACCGCCTTTTTTTGCTCTATATGTTTTTTGTTTTTGTTTTTAAAGTTGCGCGACGCGGAAAAAATTTGCGATTCAAATGATAAGATGGTTTTAAAGAACCGAAATAAAAAATAAACGATAAATCGTAAATGGGAAGAAAAAGAGAGAGAAAATTGTTTAAAACAGACATACGCCAGTGGGTTGCGTATTTTGAACGACAACAATAAAACAACGATCAAAAAGCATTACAGTGGCTGGGAGTGGGGCGGCTTGGATAGGACGTTCCATGGGCTGTTGCCGGAACTTTAACTGTAACTTCAACAGTAAATAAGTACAAACATCTTATGAAATGAGGGAGATATAGAGATAGAAAGCAAAACATTTGACAATAACTATGACTGAGATGTTTAAGACGCTGTTCGTCTTTACACATAAATGAATATAAACAGAGTATATATGCTATTTAAGTTCCTCATCATGAACACTTCTTGAAAGTAATGATCATTAAAAACCTACAGATTTAGAAGAATATGTATCCTTCTTTACTGATCGCTGATTGTATTAAGAAACTGTTTACGAATGTAATTGAAAGAAGAGTTGTGGTGAAAAACTCTTCTATGATAATTCTCATTAGTGATATGAACATTTGTGAAAACATACTATATACTAGTATATTATTCACTAGATAATGTTGTTCCTTGATCGATGATTTTTAGTTTCTGCTCTTCTGATCAGATCAGATCAGACTTATATTTCTCTCTGGTATACAAAACACCAATAACTTTCCCTTTTAGTTGAATACTTGTATTGATTGGAAGGAACCATCACTCATGCAAATCCCTTTAGGATCTTTAAAGAGCATAACAATATGTGTTTGTTTAGCTCGGATTTGTTCCACCAGCGGGCAATGGCGTGAATAGAGTCGGGTAGAAGATACAGATATGTATGTATGATGACGAGACGTATTGTAGATAGGCGATACGTGACAATGAGACTATATAGACGACACACACTTAAAAGTACAAATCCAATGATGGGTGAGTGCTTGTTGTGTGCTTGTGCTTGTGCTTCAGTTATGGGGGGTTTATGGTGATCTAAATACCTGGCCTGGCCTCTTGTGGCACCTAATCGCTATGTCTAGCTATGAGCTGAGTGCATATCTACAAGATACAGAACGCGTGAAGATACGAGATAGAAAAGAGAGATTGTTGAGCATGTGCGAAGTAGGTTATAGCGCGACTTACTCTATAGTACTAAGGTATACGTATAATTATTGTCTTAAAAACTGAACTACAACTACATATATAGTGCAGTACTATATACTTGAGTACTTTTATATTTGTTTGTGGGCTCTAATGTAAGAGTATACAAGTTTAAAAGTGTATTAGTTGCTGGCTACGATAAAACTTGAATGTTACCTTCGCGTTCCGCCATAAGTTCGCGTAGACGTGCACGGATTTTGCGACGTTCCTCGTAGGTGGACGCCTTTTCCAGCTGTACGTAGAATTTGATTTGCAATTATGTATTGCTTTCGATCGCGCGCCAATTACTTACCAATTGCTTCAATATATCCTCGTCCCAAATCTCCTCGATGTCACAAGTTGTTCGTGTAACTAGTGATGAAGAGCTATTGCTGTTGTTGTTGTTGCTGCTGTTGCCTGTTTTGCTATAAGTTTTCGTAACACGCGTCGTTTTCACCTGAAATCGAAATGCCAAAAAAAAAAAACATATGTGAATGCCATTTGTTCCTACATTTTGTTTATCAACCGGAAAATTTTTTATGTTTTCTGCTGCTCGCTTCTAAAACGCCAGCATGCCAGCTCACCAGCTGCTTTGTCTATCTAAATAAAGCCGATGAGCGCATAATGCCGGCAGCAACAGCAACAGATTTGCCAAGTATTGGCAAAACAAGAAACTCAAAAAATGAAAGAAGAGCAAAATTTGCGAGGCAGACGCCTTCGCATGTGGCAGAGCTGCGACGAAGCATTTTGGCCCAAAATTCGCCAACAACCATCGGAGCATGACAACACAAAAATCCAATGAACGTCGTTGCCACCATTGTTGTTGGTTTCGTTTTTTTTTTTTTTTTTTGTTGCTTCCGGCTGCGCTTAGCTACTACATGCTAATCAATTAATAATCCATAAATTGAGGAAGCTCTTTCACCACCAGCTAAATGCGCATACTTGCCGTATACTTGCTATTTGTTATAATAACTCATACGCCTCGTGGCTCGCACAAAGATAGCTGAAAGCTTTTGAGAAATGGCAAAAAGTATTGAGAGAAATGGCAATACTATGTAAAGATTTGCAGTATAATTTGCTTAGCTGCCTCCAAAACTTTGCACATATCCTAAAAAAGGCCTAGCAAGCTTTATTTTTTATTTAAAATTTGTGTTGTATATGTACACATTGTTTAACATTTATCAAATTGCTAAGAAATAGGTTGTAATTACTAAAAGATTTGCAGTTACTTTGCCAATATGCGTCTGTAGTCTAATTTAAATAAGTGAATAATGCCTTATTCTAGAGGTTGCATTAGGGTAGTATTTGGTGGAAGATTAAATATTTTTACAAACTCAAACTCACGATCAAAACAAATAAACGATCGTAAAAAAATATGTACACATTGCCATTCTACACAGAATATAAAGGGACTATCTAATTTATAAAATATGTTTCATAGATGGCGCAGCTTACTTCCTTAAGTTTCATAGAAAATGACAACAAATTACAGCCGATATGAGGCGCTTGAGTCCAAAATACTGTTAAATCAACTCTTAGTGTTGCCAAAGGAAACAGGGCAGCTAAGCAAATTACTATCTTTTAATATATTTCTTGCCAGCTAGAGCATTTTCCTGCTGACTGTTTTCCCACTTACATGTATATTAATGTTTATACAATTTTCTTAACAACAGCATAATATTAGGATAACAGTCTTCTAAATATTTCGAAACTTATTTCATTTGTTTTTATTGCATCCCCCATCTTCCCGTACCAAACAAAATTAATTTCCTACGTTAAATGAGAAATGAGCGCAATTTGAAAGGAAAATTGAACAATAAATGTCAATTATTAAGTATACGCAATGTGCGTCGCATGAATTCCGAATGCAAATAACCTCAGACAAACGGATACAAAAACAATGAAAGCAAATGTACAATAAAAATTTAAAAAGCGAACGACCAACCTACAGATTTGTCCGTCTTTTTGTCTGTCTGTCTGTCTGCTTTGCGTCATTGCACGGAAAACGATTTCGAACATTTCCTTATTGCACATTTACCCGCTAATGCATATGTACAACTGGCAGATGTCGAGCGGACGGAATTGCCGCGAAAATTGTTTATAACAATTTGACCAAATTTGGTCAGCAACAAAAATTTGTTGAGCAGAACAATTTTAAAAACAGGCCGCACATTTTCGAGAGCGTCCGAAAACACGCGTTGCTATTTTTAGTTATAAATTATTTAAGAAATACACAGATACCAAGGCACATGGATATATATATATATAAACACACAAATACTCGTATATATATAAATATTCTATGTATATACAAATATATATGTACGGATATAATGTATGCCAGTGTGTGTGTGTAAGAAAAAAATGTTCTTCATAATTCTTTTGAGATTTATCCCATTCTTTCTCTCGCTACCGCTCTCAGTCGCCCCTGGGCATTGTTGTTGTTGTTTTGTTTCGTTGAAAATTGATTACTTTATATAATATTTGTGTCATGTTATAAACAAAAGCATGGCAAGTCAGCAACAAAATTTTAACAATAATTGCACAAGTTGTCAAACAATTTTATACACATTTTTCTTCTCCAATGTGGGCCAACTTTTATTTGTTGTTCGTTCATAAATAAATTTGTGCCTTTTTATGTGCACTCTCTATATTTGTGTGTGTGTGTGTGTGTGTGTGTGTGTGGGTGTGCGTGTGTAGCAGTTGTTGGTTTTTGGGATGCACAATTTATTTACTTTTTTTCAAAAGTTTATTTTCGGGTTTATTTTGTGACGTGTCAAAGCGTTTTCGTTGCCAACTATTTGGCGCAATTCCGCCAAAGCGTAAAAAGTTGACAACGTTGCACAGTTGCAGTTGAGCGTGGAAATAAAATCGAATGGCAAGCAATTAAGATTGCAAAAATGAGACAAGCAGACAGATAGACAAATAGACAGTCAGGGGGGCAGACAGGCGCTACTTTTCACCTGCCCTGTACTGCTTTTGGTTGTTGTTGTTGTTGTTGTTGGTGCCTGGCATTGACAAAGGCCAAATGCATTGTTCATTGTTCCTTGTTCGTTGCTCGTTTTGTGTGGCAGTCAATTAGAGAAATATAGTATGTTTCTGTTGTTGTTGTTGATGTTGTTGTTGGCTTTGAAACAGCCACCCAACGCCCAGGCCATATGATTAATGGTTTTAATTTTGTCAAGGCATTTCAATTAAATGCTAAGTGCTCGCCATTAGGTGTGCAATAAAATTGACCAAATCGATAGCCTTGTCCTGGCCTCAGCGCCCACATGTGAGTAGGTGGGCCAGTTAGTCAGTCAGCCAGTCAGCCAGTCAGCTCCTCCATGTCGTCAAGGCTAGGTATAAACTTTTCATTTAACGCAAAGTTCTTGAAATTGAAATGAAATACACGAAATTTCGTTTTGTTTATATATTTTTAGAGCGCACGTATTTTCACTGTGACATGCAAAAAAGCAAAAACAAGAATGTTGTTCTTGCCGATTATGAAACAAGTTTTCCATATCTTTTGGATTTTGAGGTGAGATGAGGTGAGCAGCTGCTATCTAGCCATAATTATTATTTTGGCTACCTTGCGGGTTCGCTATTGTGTGTTTGTTTGCTTTTGCTTTTGCTTTCGACTATTCGACTATTTTTGTACTCTACACGTATGTATGTTGCCAAATACCCGTACGCATGCCTTTAAACAAGAAATAAACGCTAGGTATTTAGTTCACACACCGTTATAGTAGAAGAAACAAAAATGGAAATGGAAATCGGGAGCACACGAGCATGCTGATTGTGCTTTGCCTACTTCCGCTGCCTGCTCGCCTTCTCGCCTGCTTTCCCCACTGCCCCCCCCCCACCCCCCACAACCCCACCCCTTCACATCTCTTCCCTTGCCATGCCAAAGGCTACATTGCAAGTGCAATGGGCGGCTGTTCGCCTTGCATTCAAGCATGTATTTGTGTAGTATGTGTCTATGTGTATGTGTATGTGTGTGTGCTTGCTTGGGCGCCCGTTGCTCAATGCTCCAAGCAGGCAGGCAGTCCGCATAGCCCGTCCGTACGTAAAAATAGTGCCGCGCTATTTTTGTCGAAATTTTCCGTAAGCTTGCGCTCTCATTCAACGCGCGCCTTCATACCACATTATGGTCGTACACGTATGCCCCACCCTCCTGGTTCCTGCCACAATGCTGCTGTTCTCGTTCCCCCTCCTCGCCCGCTGCACATGTCGCTACACCTCATCTAACATTTTGTCGTCTCGCCTCGCCTCACCTCGCCTCGCCTCGCCCCACCTTGCCCAGCCACGCCCCATCACGCCTCCTCCTTCTTGTCACTGCCCGATTGCTTTGCTTTGCTTTCCTTTTAAATTTATTTATTTATTTTATCTTTGTCTGCCTGCTTTCTACCATTCCCTCTCCCCCCATGCTACGCAAATACAAATACAAATACTTGGTGTGCGTGTCCGTCCGTCTGTTTAGCTCTTAGTGCATAGCATACACACATATGTATAAATATGTATGTATATCACATTTTTATAAAGCAGCCGTCGCTGTCACCATCACCATCGAATTTCAGGTGCATTTTGAGATGTCGTGACAGAAATTCTTTGCCGCAAATTATGCGCATTAAACACTAAAAATAATTAAAGTATTTTCACACATACACACACATGCCCTCGTCCCGCACTTACGTGCCTTGCTTTTATCCAACTGCCAACTGCCAACTGTCGCTTCGTTGTTGCCACTATTGCTATTGTTGTTGTTGCTGCTGCTGAGGCTGCTGATGTATTTTTTTTTTAATGCTGCAATTACTCCAAATATGGACACACGTTGGCCAATGTCTTTGCCGTCACGCACACAAATTCATATCACAGCGAACACACAGAAAAAAAAATTATTTTCTAATTTTTTTTTTAATTTTTTTTCTTGTTTAACACTGCCGGAGAATTTTCCCCTTTATTATTTATTTATTTATTTAATTTGCACTGCAATCTCGAGCTCGTCGTCGTCGTCGTAGTTGCTCGTGGTACAAGTGATCGATGCCGCCTCTGAGTGTGTACTGGCCGACAACGACAATGATGCGTCGCTCCTGTGTGCCAAGATTGGACACGACGACGCACACGGCACTAAACGGCAAAGACAGAGAGTGAGAGAGAGCAGCAGGGAGCTGAGCGAGCGAGCGAGCGAGCGATCGCTCGATCCACAAACTATTGAAAACGGAAAGAGAGGCGGACGCACTCACAACTGTAATACACCGTGGGTGGCTGTAGGGGGCTGTGGACAGCCCTAGGGCAGTATTGGTTAAGTGCTGTGTCCAAAATCGCCAGCTGTGACTCATGGTTTAGATCGGGCTTCATCACTACACCCTTCACTTCACCTTGCAACTAAGGGCCTGGCATAGCTCAGGAGCCAACAGGAATCCCTCAATGTGAAATCGTTCCTAAGTATATGACTCGGTTCGAATCACGGCGCCTACAATCATCGCATAAAGCATGATTTTAAAATTCTATAAGAGTGGTTTCAATTATAAAAAAAAACTCATTTTCATTCCTATTCACTTCATCTTGCATCTAAGATCTTGGCATAGATCAAGAGCCAACAGGAATCCCTCAATGTGAGTTTGTTCCTGTTCGGTTAGTTCATGATTTTAAAAAACTACTTGCCGTTTTGAAAATTCTACAAAATTCTATGAAAAATGTCAAACTGACGTTTTATGGCCAAATCGGCAAGCTGATTTCGCAGCATAATATAATTTTTAATTTCGCCACCTACAAATGATGCAACACCATATCATACTATATTGACAACAATATGTTATTCGGCTCCAAATTGTAATAAACAATAATTAGTTTACGCCATATCGTTCCCATCACAGCTATATGTTATAGTTACATAAAATGTAAGCAAAAAGAAACCTCGCTGCAGATTAAAGCATTCTATGATTAAGTCACAGAGTTCCGCCCAACATTTTAATGAATAAATAGATTTTGTGCAAAGTTCTTAAAGATACAATAGACCTATTAATTTGTAGTTTAAAGTCTGCATTTCCTAAAAAACATACATCATATTTATACTACCACCATATTTCTTTCTTGTAGTAAACAACCTATTGTCTTACGATTGTTTTTTTTTTTAATAGTTTCATTTCGAAATAATTCTGGTGCGGTTCACTTTTGTCGAAGGTTTAAAAAATTAACTTAAAATTCGACCGAACATATGACATTATTGCACATACATTTACATTTAAACAATAGCAATGTTGTTACTAAATCAATAACTTGAAAGCTGTAAGGCACTAGAATTTTCTGTGAATTGAAATCCGCTTTATCTGTAACGGATTTAAATTGATAGAAAACTTATCAAGCAGCTGCAAGCTAATCAGTAATTGAATTTCATTGCTAAATAGGATTAATTTTCTAAGCACATTCCATCATACTTGTGTTACTTAAAATATATCCATATATGTACCTATATACATCCAAAAATCTCTTTGCGTGATCAATCACTATTTTGCGCATCACTATCACTTACCGCTTGATCGCCTTGATTGGCGTTATTGTTGTTGTTGCCACCACGTTGTGTATATGTTCGTGTTGAAGTTGTTGTTGTTCTTCCACCTTGCGGCAACATGCTCTCCACACCCTGCATGATGACGCTGGCACCGAGGAATTTGTTAAGCAACGCACGTGCTTCCTGATCCTCGGCACTATCGCCGGGCTCAACGACTATACAAAAAAAAATTAATATTATAGATAAGATGTTATAATGTCTATAGAATTAATTAGCACCCACCATTATCAGCATTGCGCATGCGCTGAAGCACATCGTCCACGCCTGTCACCACGCGATCTTCACCGGTGGTGTTGAGGAACGAGCGCGTCGATTGCTTGGAACGTGTGCTCGAAGAATGCTGGCGAAGCTGCAGGGACTCGTCCGCTGAGCTGTCATCCAATTGGGAATGCTGCAGCTGTTGCTGGCTGGTATACGCTGCCGATTCGATGACGCTGCAGACCTCGTTGGACTCACTGTCCTCGGTCTCATCGGCGGCGTCGGGCTCTTGCGAGCTCAAACGTGAGTTGGTGCGCAGGATCAGTCCAGCTTTGGGGTAAGCTGAGGCGCTGCTGCTGGTGCTTGTGCTGCTGCTAGTCTTAGACTCAGTTACGGACTGAGAGGACTCTTTCCGTATAAACTTTTCGCTCATTTCTTTGACGGAGCCACGACGCACGTATTTCCTATCTATGTTCAGGTCATCCGCATCGTAGCCGAGCGCCTGTGTAGCTTGCTTGTCCAACTTCTTGAACTCTCGCACCACCACGCTGCCGTCGTCGACATCTTGGGAGCTCTTGCGTTCGACCTGTTGCTGCAGGGAAGCCAGCTCATCGGCATTAGTGGAGTAAATGAGCTCTTTACGCTCGCGCCTAGGAGCTGATTTGTTGTCCGAATAGAACTGCTCCTCGATGACATAGCCTGTGACTTCTATAAAAATGGAAAGTTTACCTAAATGAAGTGGTTCTAAAATTGTACCCATGGTTGTCAAACTTACCTTCGCTTGTTGCACAGGGCTCATGTGCCGGATGCGCCTTTTTCTTGAGTGCGCGTATACCGAAAAGGGGAAGCCCGTTCTCATCGGTGGGTCCTACCCCGTAGCTTGAAGTGATTGAGTCTTCTTCACGACGCTTGATTTTCTGACTGCTACTGGTGGAGCCGGTGGAGCTTGTTGTGGTGCGTGTGATCTTCGTGTTGCTGCTCGCTGTGCTACTCTTTTTGGGTGGGGGCGTCGATACTGGCGTGTGGCCACGAAGCACCTTGCTGCGATCTGCCCATATGGGAGCCGATGTCTTCTCAGCACCTTTTACGGGCTTATTGCGGTTGCCGCTGGTCTTTGTGGTTGTTGTTGTTGTCGTTGTGGACTCAACACGTTTTGTCTGTGGACTGCGGTTTCGATCGGGCGTCTTGGCAGCTGAGTCGCGTCGACGCTCCGGTGACTGAGTAGAAGGACTGCTGCTGGTACTTCCGCGTTTTCCAGTTGGGCTACGGTGTCCGGTTCGAGGATCCTGGGCAGGACTGGCGCTACGATCGCGTGGTTTCACAGGGGGCTTGCCCTGTAGACTAGCGTTATCCACCTGCTCCGTACGGGTGGTCTGACGGCGACTGCTACTGGTACGCACTTCTTTCATACTGCTACTAATTGTCTTGGCATCGGGGCTGTGACTACGGTCCCGAGGCGTACGCGGCTGGGTCTGATCCGGTACTCGTCGCGAGGACTGCGGACTGCGACTCACGTTTGCCGTAGTAGCCTTAGGTGGTTCTGTCTCATTTTTACTTGACACCGTGGTGGTTTTCGTGGTTGTGCTAGTCACTATAGTCGAACCCGAATTGATCATATTCTTTTTAATCAAACGAATTTGGGCGCGTATGCGACGACGTAATTCGTATGAGCTAACGGTTTCCAATAATTCTTCAAGCACTTGCAGATCAAAGATTTCTTCAATGTTGGTGTCGTCGTTAATGCTGCAACTAGGCTCTTTTCGGGTCGTACGCTTCGGCACATCGAACTTAACTGCCGTGTTCGGGTTGCGCGGCTCATAGGTTGTTTCGTCCTCCACCGACGACTTCCGTGAGTAGTTGGTCTTGTTAATCTCAAGAGAGTCGCGACGAATATGTTCCAACGAACTCTTCGTGTGATCCATGTAGGAAGGGCGACGTCCCGTTTCTTCGGACTTGGTGGGCGTTGACGTTGGTGACTGCTTCTCGAAGAGATTGCGCCGTGAGGCTACTGTGTCCGCGGCCACACGGGTTCGTCCGACGCTAGTGTGTATTGGAGGCTTGCCAACGCTGCTAGGCGTCTTAGTCTGGTCTAGAAGTGGTTCAACGGATGGTTCATTGTCAGGTTGGCTCAATGGGTTAGTTGTTGGAGTTTGCTTAGTGCTGTGCTCAGTGGTGGTTTTAACTACGGTGGTCTTTGTGGCGGTGTGCGTACTGGGTGCCGGTTTACTGCGGATCATGTGTGTGGGCGAGGGACTTTGTGGATATGAGCTCTCCTCGTCGACGTCGCTTTCGGGGCGGGTGGCGCGGTAACTACTCTTTACGAATTCTGTTTCGGAATCTGTGGTGGAAATTTCAGCAGTTGTTGCTGGCATACGGTTAAGTCCTGTTTTTGGACTAGGCTGTTCAGCAGACGGCCTACGCTTCGGTGTAGGCGTAGCTGTTCTCGGTATTTCTTCGCGCTGCCGTGGCGTTTCGAATCTAGACTTGGTGGTGGATACACTCTTTGTCTGCTGGCTTTTGTAAGCCCTGCGCTCCTCAGCTATAAGTGAAGCACTTGGCCTTTCCACTTTAGGTGTAACTGGCGAGGTACGCTCATTCGGCTGCAACAATTTCCTCTCAACTGACTGTGGTGACTTGGGTTTATTGCCATTCTGCTTTGATTTGGGCGCCGATATAGGCGTAGAGTTACGTGGCACAGATTTTGGTGAGAGCACCGAGGGCCGACTAAGTATATCTTTCTGACGCTGAAGTTCAATGGCTATGGTATGATTTTTGGTCATGGGAACTACATCATCCTGCTCAGGCTCGGTATCGACGTTATCGGCATTAGGTTCTTTTATAACTTCCGTTCGATCAGTGCGCTTTGTAAACTGTTTGAGAACGACATTGCGATTCGCCTTTTCAATTTGATCCTCCGCATCCGTCTCAATGACGCCTTCTGGCTCTGATTCCTGATCCAGCTCCGGTTCATTCTGACGTGATATATGACGTTCGATGTTTGCTACTAACCGGGGTGATTTTTGCGGAGCCGTGGGGGCCAGTTTTTCGGCCGTATCTATAAATTTGTGCACTTTTTGTGACACACTCAGCGTACAGTCGTCTTGAAGAAGCTCTTCGTCTATATCCTCATAGCTGGGTCGCTCTACTTCGCGTGTTGGCGTTATGGGCTGCATGGTAATGCTTTCAGCTGTCTTCAGGAACTTATCTACTTTTTGATTAATGCTGAGAAGACACTCGTCATTGTCGGCAACCTTGGCATGACGATCGAATTCGCGACTAAATGGCGCCGATGATTTGGGTTGCTTTGTTTTCTCGGCGGTATTTGTAAACTTCGTGACCTTTTCGTGTACACTCAACAAACACTCGTCATCCCCATTGGTGGGATTCCAATCAAGACTTTTCGGTGCCTCAATTGTTGGATTATCCAAAATCTCATCAACTCCGTTTTCATCCGGTTGATCTTTGGAGCTACGCACTTCAGAAATCCGGCAGCCAACATAGTCGTTTGTTTCCTCCTCAAATATGGGTATGTTTGTGACCACAGGTTTCTTTCGTGGTTCGTCGTCTGGTTCCTGCACTACGTCAGGGTAGCGTGGGTTGCCCGTGTCGAACTCAGTGGGCACCGGTGTTGGCACGATCTTATCTGGCGAAGGTTCACGGGAACTCTTTGCATGCTGTATGTCAATGATGACATTTTCCATTTCCTCACTATTAATTAGCTTTTCGGAAGTGGTCAAGTTAATAGTCTTGGTAGTGAAGCATTTACTAGGGCGACCACGATCAGAAGGCCTCTGAGCTGTGTTCGGGTTTAAGGTACTCATTTCCGGTTGCTTAGGAGTTTGCGGCTTGCCGTTGACCACCTTAATGACATTTTCACTTGTTGAACGAGTCACTTTATCTTTGTCGCGTCGAGTAACGCGTGGCACAGGCGCCGATTCTTTTCGTTCCGTTACGGGGAACTTGCGCACAGGGGAATTACCTCCTTTCGGCTGCGAAGGCTTTCTATCTCCTAACTTGGGAGATTTTGGCTCTGTGTGATCAATTATGATCTCTGTGTGAACGGAAATATTGCTCGAGCGACGACGCTCACTAACCCGTACGGGACTAACATCAGAAGAAGAGGACTCTCCATCCACATCGTCGTCTTTCTGCGGCTTTGGCTTGCGTGGTGAGGAACGCAGGCGATCTTTAATCGAGGGCGACGCATTAACATCGCTAGGCTTTCTGCCTTGCTTATTTCTCGATGTTGAAGTTTTGATGGTGGAAATGCTTGTTTCCTCCACCAATCGATCCACCTTTGCTGGCTCTGTCCTAGCTGGGGAGTCCTTGAGAGGACTCTTACCGATTGGTGTTTTTGTTTCGGATTCCCTAGGGCTATGGGGTTGAGGCTGTGCTGATCTAGTAGTTTTTACAGTTGTAGTTGTTCTGGAGCTGCGGCGTTCCGTTTCAGGTTTGAAAATTTGCGGCTTCTTAGTTTCGGACTTGGTCAGTGGTAGCTCTTCAGGTTCACTTTCGTCAGATAGTTTCTTAACTGGAGCTGTATTACGACTAGTAGGACTTACATTGCGTGGCGTTTTGCTTATCTTCTCCACTATAGTTTTTTCATTGCAGTCAATGATCTTTTCGGTAACGAAATGGTTCTCAGTGGAGCTTAATGATTCTTTGCGTGATGGTGATTTGGAGCTACGGGTCGGCGATTCACGATGCGGTGACGGATGCTTTGTGGCAGGCGCATTTCGTTGCGGTGATGGTGACTTCTCTGGGCGCACTGTTACAACAATAGTATTCTCCTTATTCACGTAAACGGTATCCTCAACATTTTTGGGAGTTTTAACGGGCACATTTAAGCCGCTTCTTTGCTTCGGAACTTTCTTTACTTCTGTAGTTTTCTTTGTTTTCTCGCTGTTCACAACTTCCTCAGATTCTATGACATCAACCGTTAGCTCACTTAATTGAGGCGAACGGCCATCTGGCAATGGACTTTCTGTAGGTTGTGAAGGGAACTGCTGGCGCACTACAAAGGTTTCGATAACACCCCTAGGCTTATCATCCTCATCGTCATCTGGACAATCTTCGATTCTCACATCGAAAGTTTCCTTGACCACTTTTGGGATGGTTTCTTGCGGCTGTTCGTCATCAGATCGCACATAGGTGCCCTGTGTATCACCATCCTCTTCCATACCCAGTATTTTTCGACAACGATCCTCAAAGGTCTCACGACGGCTTAATCCCTTTTTACGATAGGTAGGCTTGTCATCGTCCTGATCTGGCTCCGGACTTTTTGAAATAAAACCACCATCAGTACTCTCAGGAATATCAGGCTCGGGCTGTTTTTCATTCTGATTTCGAGGACTAATCGGTTTCTGTGTAATACGTTCGTTGGTTATAAATTCCTCATTAAAATTGTTCGTTGTGTTTCGCACGTTTTGAGTATTTATGCTCTGGAAAATAACTTCTTCTCGATTTTGGGTTGGTCCAGGTATTTGCTTTTCCGGACTCTGTCGTGGTGCATCTCTAGGTTTAGATAAGATTGGTTGTTGTTCTTTAGGGCTTTCGCGTGGTTTAGTTATATTTGACAAGGGTCTTTGAGGACTCTGAAGCGATTCATTGTTTATTTGTGGCTTTTCAGGAATTTCCTTTGGTTTTGTTTTATCCGAAAGGGGTTCGTCAGGGTTTGGACGTGTTTCCTCTCTAGGACTAACTACATTTGGCTGCTGCCTTTTAGGACTGTAGGGTATAGTTTCTTCCGGGAGCTGTTTTTCTGGGCTATGTCGGGCCTTCTCCCTGGGTTTTATTTGACTTGGCAACTGTTTTTCAGGACTATGGCGCGGTGATTTTGTTGGCTGTGGCGCTTCCTTAGGCTTTGTTGGCCGTACAATTGGAGTGTCAAGTTCTTGTCTCGGCTTTGTGGAGGTCGGTAATGGCTTTTCTGTCGTTACGTCCCTGGGGCTAAGCTCACCTGGCAACTGTTTTTCAGGACTTTTTTCCCGGGGCTTTAGTTGGACTGGCAACTGCCTTTCAGGACTCTGAGAAGTTTGTGAACGGGTACGGGGCTTGGGTGAAATAGGCGACTTTCTAACTTCGGACTCATCTATAACGATTTGCTCATCGATATGTAAGACATCGTCAGTTTGAGGAACTCGCTTTATAGAATTATCGCGCAACTTCTCATAGGTTGTTTCTCTCAGTACTGTACGACGATCGACACTGGGAGACTTGGAGCTACGTCTAGAAGGCTCCCGTTCCTCAATCGGCGACTGACGATTGACATCGTCACCGACTATGCGAACATCGTCGTGTGTAGCGTTTGTGCTGCTGGTGATTGTTGTGGTGGTGTTGATGGTATGATTGGGTTTTCTATTACTTTGTGGCGTGCGTTTGCCGATGTCGTTGATCTTGCTGGGTGATTCATTTGGAGTTACATGTGGTCGGCTCTTGGGCGTTGCTGCAGAGAGGACATCAACGCATAAACATAAGGGGATTTCAGACGGCCGCAATGCTGCGTTCTACTTTTGGGTGTGTGTGTGTATTTCCCGCTTGGTTAATGTATTAGTTACGTCAAGTACTACGTAAGTAGGCAGATAGATAGTTGGATTTGTTAATTGCTCTACGGGGTTAAGATTTTTACTAATTAATTTGGCAGGCAAAGTCAGGTGTGCATGGCAAGTAGCTTGAGGGTTAATTGCGCAAAGCCCGTTAATTGAACAAATCAGTTTGTTGCTGGTATGAGAATACTATATAGTTGGTCGTTTGGTTTTCTACTTTCAGCTAACATGCAACTCGTGGCTTCAAGCAACAGCATCATGCTGGCTGCTCTCTCACGCCGTCTTTCTCATCCTCTTCCTTGCTTCGGTCCATACGACCACCTTCTCATGCATCATAGGATAGGGCTAATATAGTATAATCTTTAGATTGTAAAGTCTTGACTCGTCATGTGTATGTTTATGATACGTGTGGTGCTTGAGCAAAACATTTCACAATTGCATTTGGTTTATCAAGTGTTTTTTTATTTGTAAGTTCCAAAACAGTTTAAAAACTAGTATAGGTAAATAGTACTTTATTGATAGCTTTAAGAAGTTTTTGTGTAGTTTTTTCTTTGTGTTTTTCTTTTTTTTTTCAATTCTTTTTATATTTATATTTCTTATGCCTTACCAACGGTTTCTGAATTAATTAAGGCCGTGGCAGTCAACGCAGGCTCAACAGCTGGGCTTGCTGGTGCCTCAGGGGTGGCGGGCGCGTTCTTGGCCGCTGCCTTATCGGACGGACCAAGTTTGTAGTAATGGCGTTTCACACACAGCGGCTCCTCGATGAGCGCGTGGGAGGCGTCGTTTGTGCTCAGTTGAATTTTTGTGATTTCGTTTTCAGTGTTGTTGGTGGACTTGCTGTTTGGCTTGTTGTTGGACTGGTTGTTGTTGTTGTTGTTGTACTTTGTTGTTAGTGTTGGTTCGTTGTTAATAGTAGGAGGAGTAGGTGGTAAAGAGAATATATCGGCTGGCTTAGTGGTAGTATACGTATACTGTGACAGGTTATCTGAAGGATACATTCATATATATTCATACATAGTTTCCGAGATAGGTTTTGCGCCATTGGCATAGGTAATGTGTAGGCTAATTCGTACCTGGCACTTGAGGAAGCTCGCTGCTGACTGAAGCTGGAGCTGGACCTGGACCTGAAGCTGAAGATGGAGGTGAAGCCGGGCTGCTGGCTGGCACGGGTGCAATAGTGGCGGGTGCTATATTGGAAGGTGCAGCTGGGGTGCTTGGTGAAGATATGTTAGCTGGAGCTGTAGGTTGGCCTGCAGGCTTAGTGATAATCGTAGTAGTGTTCGTAGTTTTCGTAGTGCTGATCGGTGCCGATTTGGATATCGGTGATTTGGCACCGGATGCTGGTGGGGACTTCGGCGAACGCTGCGGCATAAGATCGATTGTTTCGTTAGAACCTTGAACGTTGCGGGTCTTCACAACAGTTTGCTTGGTAACGACAGTTTTACCCACGCTCTTGGTGGTGGGCGGGCCAACGTGACGCGTCACCGTCGTCGAGCTGATGCGGCTTGTTTCGGAAGGCGCATGACTATCGTGGGAACCCTCTCGTGTATCGCGTCGATAGGTCTTTGTCGAGGAGATACTCGACCGCGGTGTGTGGCGCTGCTGATTACCATGGGGGTGCGTGTGCGAATCGCGGCGGTGCGACGAGCTACCCGAATGATTACTCTCCGCCGGCGAAGAACTGCGCAGTGAGGCAGCAAATGCGCGATGTGTAGCATCTACTTCACGCTCCTTTTGCAGCTGCCGGCGTGTTGTGGTCGTTGCCTCATTAGTTGTGCGCTTAGTGGTGGTACTCACTGGAGTACTTTGACCACTTGGCTTACGTGGTGGCGATTTGTATAGAGGCGCACGCTTCGTTGCATAGTCAGGCGTTGTCTTTGTAGGGGATCGTGCAGAGGGAAAGCCTTGTGTGGTGTAGTCTTCACGCGATGGAGTGCGTCTGGGACTGATGGGAATGTAGTCAGTGCGTGTTGGTGAACGCGTGGGCGACCTTGCGGCAGGATAGCCATGACTACTCAACTGTTCCGGACGACGATTTGGCTGCTCCACTTCGGTCTCAATAATGCGTTCCGTATTGGTTTTATGCGTAGCGCTATGATTGCGACTTACTGTCGTCTTGGAGGTTATTACTTCGCCATCTGGCTCACTGTGCTCCTTTCTGGGCGAGCGAGCAGAAGGGAATCCGTGCGTGCTATAGTCGTCTTCGACATGTCCACGTCTAGGAGTGGTAGGCTGTTCCCAGCTAGGTGTGGCCTGCTGAGGGGCAGCAATTTTCTTTTGTGGTGCAGAGTCCTGCAGGGCCGGATAATCATCACTGACATATTCCGTCTCGATGGTGCGCTGTGAGCTTGTCTGCTGCTTCACCTGACGACTCTGTTCGGACTTTACCACAATTATTTCCTCACCATTCGGACCGTAACGCACTTCATTCACACTTGATGGTCTATCTGTCGGATACTCCTGAGTGAGCTTATTGGGACGCACCGAAGGAAAGCCGTGCGTTGAGAAGTCCTGTGTGGGCGGCTGACGCGGGGAGCTGGGTGTGCCGGCACGCTGAGTTGGATACTCTTGCGTGGGCTTATGCGGCTTTACCGATGGAAACCCCTGCGTGCTAAAATCGCTGGTCGGCTGACGCGGTGTTTGTGGCGTCGAGGGACGATCTGTTGGATACTCCTGCGTTGGCTTATGTGGCTTCACTGAAGGAAACCCATGGGTGCTAAAATCGCGACCTGGGGATGGTGACTTGTGACTTCCATTAGGATGATCATCATACTCCTCGATAGTCTCAGACGTAGTCTCTGTTGAAAAACGACGACTGGACTTCTTCACCGAGGAGTACGACTGCGATTGAGTGGTTAGCTCATCAGCAGCTGACTGGCGACGCACTGTCTCCACATTGTCTACTACGTCGCGAGGCTCAGAGCCACGTGGTGTCGGCGACTGCTTTACGTAGCGGTCCTCACGCTGATCACGCTCATCATGTGCCCGATGCTGGCTGTAATTGGTGTTAGTGTTGGTCTGCCGCACAGACTCATTACCTGGACGGAGCTCCTCCGTCTCATAACGCTTGTTCTTGACAATAGTGCCATCGGGTAGCTTCTTCACCGTTGTAATCATCTTAACGTTCGGCTTAGGATACTCAACTGTATTGGAAATGATCTCACCCGGCTGAGCCATCAAGTGCTGAACGTGACGCTGATATTCTGGCGAAGCCTTGTCCATGTCCACATAACGCTTGTTCTCTTCATAGTGCTGTTGTGTTTGCACATTCTTAGTAGTATTGGACTGCTCTCGACTCTCATGACGCTCTTCAGAGTATCGCTGCTGTTGTTGGCGTTGGTGCTGCTCCTGCACGCGTTCACGCTCTTCGATAAGCTGCTGCTGTTTTACACGCCTTTGCTGCTCCTGTATGCGATCTCGCTCTTCGTGCAGACGTCGCTCCTGACGTTGTTGCTCCAGACGTTGCTGTTGACTTGTCTGGCTGTCTAGCAGATAGCGCTGAGGCTCGGCGCCATCGTCGTACTCCACGTGGGAGGATGAAGACACCACCTGCGACGTCGACGAGGACGTAGTCGAGCTCATTTTCATCTCGGTGCGGCCGCTGTTTTCATCGCCAAACACCACCTTCTCCTGCAGATGCGTGTCGGAGCTCTCCGATGCTTTCTTCACAAAATTCTTGTCATCACCTTGATGCGAGGCGCTTGAGCGCTGCTCGTTGCGACCCTTGAATTCGGCGATGCCACCACCATTGAGCTTTTCAACACCTAGCGCAAGGATGGGAGAGGGATTGGCACAAACCAAGACAAAGAGTTTATCAAAACGCACACAAAACATATAATATAACTACTAGGCCACAACTACATACATATATACAGTAAATATCGCCTATATGCAAATAGAAATCAATTACAATTACTGATAAAAAGAATACATGAAAAATGATTAAGTGTTTTCCAATTCCTTGTAACTCAAGGATGTATCTGAAAAAGATTTCCAAAACATCTGAATCATAATTTTCTTGTACACTCGGTGAAGATTTTCTGCTTAGCAGTACCTACAGAAAAGTAGCTTTCAGGTAAAATATTGTGGAATTTTCTCTGGTAGCGTATAGGCGATATTTGTTTCAAAATTTGTGTGTCACAGCCACATTACCAATATTGACTGTAGTACATGAGTTACAATTGGCCCAGAATACGTACCATCTGTCTTAGCCACTGTCTCGGTGCGATAGGCACGTCCATCGGGACTCACTTCCGAAGAGGTTTGCACATCCCAGCCTGTGGTGTTTGGCTGATTCAGGCTCAAAGAATGAAACTTAATGTCATGGGTCGGACTCATCGAATCGCGCACCTCCTTGGATTTGAGACTCTGAAAGCTTTGATCCATCAGCGCATCCCCATGGCTAGTCGTCAGCGGATCCTTTCCGTAACCGGTCACTGTATTGGCGTTGTCCGACATCGCTTCGTTCTGATACAAATCTTTTAGGCGTGACTCACGCAACTTGTACAGGTGGCTGCGTATCTGCTTCTTGCGTTCGCTATCCTCGGATTGCTGCCACTGCAAAGAACGAGCAATTGCGACAATTGTGTTAACAACAGGCACTGGGTGTACTCATAAATAAGTATTAAACAACATATAGAAGACTTTGCAACGTCCTTGAGCTAATTGTGAGCGAGCGAGTGCTCAAGTGTTTGCCAAGCAAAGCCCACGCGCGTTTATAGTCGCGTTGAAAAACGCGCCTTTTATGGAGAAGCGCGCGCTCACACACAGGCCGCCAATTAGCAACAAAACAAACACAATCTAACAGTCAATAATAGTCAGTCCGTCAGTCCGGCACTCCGCCAGTCCGCAGGTCTATAACAAAACAGTAGTCGACCAGTTGCCGTTGTAACGACCATTTACAGTTGCATAGCGAGCTCGAACGCTTCGATGATTCGATATTGCGATGCCCCCATGCGATAACATCGAGAATCGAAACCTGCCATAAATGATAAATAAGTGCCCTCTGAGCCAATGCACTAATTATAGAAATCTTGTTGTCGAGAACAGTAACAGCAATAGCAACAGCAACAACAACAACAACAATGACACTACTGAATCGGCTAGGTTATCATCACACCTGAACCGCTCAAACCTTAAAAACAAACAGGCTAGCCGGCCCATGACAACTTTGTTTATAAATAATAAAAAGACCGCAAAGTATTCAAACTGATAAATAAGTTTTACTTTCAACACAATCTCGCCTCTCACGCACACTTTCAGGTGGATATGTGTGTGTGTGTGTGTGTGTGTGTGTTTGCAAATAATTCTACACCTTGGAGCATTCACAGAGTCGTTAACATACAAATTGAGTTGCTTTGAGTTGAGTTGAGTTGAGTTGAGCGGTGATATCACCAAAGCCGAACTGCCAAACACCAACAGCGGAAAAACATGGCAAATAACATTTGTATTAACAATAACAATAACAATAATAAACGTAACAATAACTGGCTGGCAGTGCCGCCTACAAATACATGCACTGACAGCAACTAATGATACAACAATGGCAATAAAAACTAGAAAACTGAGCACAGCTTCGCTTTTAACTGTTTAATTTTAGTCGCTCACTAGCCGGAACCAATTGAATCTCACATTTATCCTGGGCACACCGAAAGGCTGCAAAACTTCTTAAAACATACATAAGTGTTTAAATGATCTTCACAATCTGAACATTCTAGTCCTAATCCTGGCTGAGCAATTTGAAATTGTTCGTAAAGACTGATGAAAAGGCATAGAGGAATTTATTCAATGACAATAATAACTAAAAAAGTGAGCAGAGCTTCGCTTTTAACTGTTTACTTTTAGTCGCTCACTAGCCGGAACCAATTAAATCTCTTTCTTAAAACTGCTTAAAACATAAGTGCTTAAATGATCCTCACAATCTGACCATTTTAGTCCTGATCCTGGCTGAGCAATTTGAAATTGTTCATAAAGACTGATGGAAAGATATAATGCATTTAAAATCTAGTTTAAGTCTTTTTTTAGATTTCGTGTAGAATAGAGAAATTAATTCGAAAAAAGTGTTCATAGCTTCGCTTTTAACTGTTTAATTATAGTCCTTCATTAGTCGGAACCAATTGAATCTTGTTCATACTTCTTAAAACATAAGTGTTTAAATGATCTTCACAATCTGAACATTCTAGTCCTAGTCCTGGCTCGGAAATTTGCAAATTTGGTTACCGTGAAATACGTTTCAACAGACATAATGCATTTAAAAACTAGTTTAAGTCTTTTTTTTTAGAATTCGCGTAGAATAGAGGAATGAATTCGTAAGGTCTGACAGTTAGGGACCAGAGAAAGTATCTGTTTGCTATCAGATGAACTGCCATAAGCAATCAGTGAATCAAGTGGCATAGAAAAGAGGTCAGCTACTTAGTTGGCAAAAATCGAACATATGGCGAGCCCACCACAGCCCACAGCATTCAGCACACAAAGCTGTGAGTCGCTGCGGACGCTTTCACTTCAATTTGGAGCGAAAGAACAACAATAAAAAATACATGTAGTAGTGGCAATAAAACTGCAACAAAACAGCCATAAATGTGTGGCCAGTTGTGGCCAGCAGTGGCTATACATACATACATATGTATCTATGTATCTGATGAATACAAATCTGTTACCTGTATAGCATGTATCGCTGCCGCTGTCTTATCGTCAGCATCGGCCAAATCGAGAGACAGCGAGACAGCGAGGTTCAATTTTGCGAACGAATTGCAGAACTGGTCGCGTGGCGCTCTGACCAAACCTACTAAGGTAGTAGAAGGAGGAGGGGGGAGGGGGAGGGGTGGGAGGTAGAGTCGCAGCCATTGCGACGCAGCCAAAACGCCGACGTGCCCCAGTCTAGACCTTGGCGCTAGACGTGCGCGTCTTGAAACGCCTCGGCGCGCCGCGACGCCAAATGACGTAATTTCTAAAACTGCCAGCGATGATAACCAGTTGGAGCGTCGCGTCGGCAGCGATTCCGACGACGCCAGCAGCAGCCAGAGCAGAATGTCGCCGTCTCGAGCTGCACAGCATTTGGAGCTGCTGCTTTTGGACAACTTCACACCTCCTCCACCACCACCACTGCCAGCACAACCAGCCCCAGCGCCAACCCCACAGCCATGCAACCTGTTGACGTCTGATGACGTGACATGCGATTTTTTTTTGTCTTTCTTTCTGATGCGCAACTGCTGCAAATTTTGATAAATTATTGTTGCCATTTTTATTAAAAGCTTTCGTGTCAATTTTAGAGGTCAACAATAATTCGTCTATTTTCATATTTTTGCCAATTTTTCATTGTTAACCGAAAAAATCTCTTTGTTATTATTTTATGTTAAATTAAAAATTTAATCAACTTTAATTGAGTGAAATCAGCAAAACAAATCTTGTAGACATGCAAAGCACAAGCTACCAGCTGGAGCGCCGATACACACATACATACATATGTGCACATGTATAGTATGTATGTATGTACAAACATGAATATGTTAAAAGGGGCTCTGTGAACAGTATAGGAGGGGGTTAGAAATCGTTTTCGTGAATATTTCCTAAAAAAAGGATTTTTTCAATACGAATTCGAAAAAACTAAATAATTTAAAGCATCATTTAGCATAAGCTCCATAAATGGCATTTAAAATACATACGCATTTAGAAAAGTAGAGAAAATTCTGAACAAAAAATTATCAGTTACTTTAATTTGAATTGTGGAAACTGAAAATTGGCTATGTTCTTTCATAAATAATTTAGAAACCTAAAAGCCTTAGTTGCTCTAACTATTAACATTGTAATTTAGATTTACTTTTAAGTTGAAATAATGTAAATAAATAAATGAATGAATCAAAAATTTAAATGCATTCAAATTCAAAAAAACTAGCTACATTCAATAGTTTTTCAGAGATTTTTTTTTTTTTTTGGTCTATAGAATAAATGGCATTTAGAAGAAAAAGGAAAGGACTAAAAATTCTCATAACGTTGCGAAATAGGCACTAGGTGGAGTTTTTCGTGAGCTTATCACAACCTATGCTCTTGTACGGCATATTACTGTAGTCATGAGTTAGATATCTAGATATCTTTCTCTCCACCCGTCGGGTATTCCCCATAAAAATAGCATGCATTTTGCATATGAAACTGTAAAAAAGAAAATACAGTTTCAAATGATCACAGCTTTATTGCTTCAGATCACATACCCCTACCCACAAGCACAACTGTGAATTTTAATTGCCTCAATTGTGGCGCCACCTGTTGACTGTGGCACGCACACTCACTCACCAATATACACACACACACGCAAGCGCACACACGCCGGCAATTGCGCACTTAATGAAGGCAACAAATCGCGTGGGGTGCAGCAACTAAGCAGCCAAATAAGCAACCAAACGACGAAACGTCGAACCGACAAGCCGACAAACCGACTTTGGAGCACTCACTGCTTCATTCAGTGCTGCTCCCGAGCCAAGCGAAGCCGAGCCACTTGCTATTCACGCCTCTCTGCACAGCTGAGCGCCTGACATTGAATCTCAGTTCAATTCGTTGAGGAAATTGCTGGCAATTTGCTGCTGCTGTTAATTGCTGCCTCCGTCTATGTTGTTGTTGCTGTTGCCGGTCATCATATTTTTTGTTTTTATTTCATTTCAATTTCAACTTGCTTAGTGTTTTTTCAAATTTATTTTATTTTTATTTTGCGAGCATATTAAAATGACCTAATTGCTGCTGCTGTGCGAATTGAAACCGAATGGTGTCATTTTCATGCCCAGTTTATTGTTGTTGCCGTCATTGTTTTTGACTTTGCCACCTGACATTCTCTATACATACTACATACATATACATATACGAGTACAGCGCCGATTTCAGTTCAGCATGTAAATTTGTTTTTGTGAAAGTGACATTGTCATGTGAATAAAACATGCGTCTGTCTGTCTGCCTGCCTGCCTGTCTGTCTGTCTCTGTGATCGGTTTTTGTTCTAGAAAGTGAAGAACCCTACATGAATATTAAACAATTGAATGGTGATGAGCTAAAACTGTTCCATTTTGTTTGATGGACGACAGTGACAGTCAAAGACCATAAAATACAATGAATTGTGCTGGCGACCATCTTCGCCGACAATTCCCACAGTTTTAGGGAATAATTCCATATCTGATCGATTTCGCAGCAATTGTTGTTTTACATTATGTTCTTAAAGCTTGATGGTTAAAATAATTTGTAATATCTGTTATATTCTTTGATGATTATGGATTGTTCTGTTGAATATGTCAGGGGTAATAGTACCATCATATTTGTTTATGTTTCATATTCTGATTCCCTAATACAAATAAATTATAAATTATTAAACTTTAAATGTAAATATTGATTCGATGATAAAAAGTCTTTCCATTTTAAATTAAAATATTATTTAAGCTCAATAGGGAGGGGCATATTTATGCCATATCGGATCAAATACTTACAACTATAGGTTAAATGCTAATAAATGCGTTGAGCTGTCTAACTAGTGTAGTATAAAAACGAAGTAACTCAAAACATTAAAAATACAGGACCTGTTGTA